CCAAAATCCGATTCTCTACACTGGCTCAGTTTTTTAGCATGCTCATACCTATCATAGGTAACTTTTTAATATTCAATTGTGATTGCTTTGCTCCAGGCAGGACTGTTTTAGCAGTTAAGACTTGTGAATTTTGGATGGTCACAGATGTTCAAGCTAGGAGGAAGTTCTTCGTGTTATGATGCTCACCAATGCAAAGCTTTTTTCCTTGAATTATGTCTACAACACTGCAAGAAACTCTAAGTTTTCTATAAACTTTGTGGTGAAGGCACCTCACTGTGATTTTCAGTAAGGTTCATGCCTGGTTACTTCCCAGCTACTAGGAAATGTTAATCCAAGTAGTAGCATTATAAATGAGACTCTTGCACTTAATACTGCGGCAGAGAAGACTGCCAGATTGGACACCCCTGCTCAGAAATCTCTGCTTTGTTTTGGGTCCTAAATTATCCTTTTCTAAAGTGAACAGGAGCTACTCTCTTCCTAGAATAGCTCAGTCATTACAGCAGATGCCTCTCAAATTGCAATACCATGTCCCTGTAACAAATACAGAGTCCTGGTTTTCTAGAAAGCCCCATCACCTAACCATTGTAGGCAGATTAGAGCAACAACATGTGCTTTTCTCTCAAGGCATTGTGAGATTAATAACAAAAAATAAGTAAGCCATAGCCAACAAATCACAAGTAATGTTCTGCCCAGAAGACTTTTCTTTAACTGTAAAATCGTTTAATGTCTTTCTTTTTCTTTAAGCCTGGGGAAATCCAGCAAATTGAAGCATCATCACTGTTCTCAGTTTCTTGTATACATGTCATTTTTTTTTGTTTTGGTGTTTTGTTGGCTTTTTTTTTAGTAACAGTGGGATTACTTCCAATAAGGCTCCATGATTGTATGTTAACAACACCAGCCTCATTTTTGCTTCTTAACAACCTTCTGTAGGTTACATCTGCAATTGCACTTGATATGGATTTTCCTACACTGAAGTGCCAGTAATATTTAACCTATGCATTGCCTTATAACAAAAACTCTGGGGTCTGGTGGCTGTAGCCACCCCCACCACAAATCGAGTAACCCAGAAGCAAACAAAATGTGAGCATGACATTTAATTTCTTACCTTTCAGTGGTAGTGGGATTGACTACAGCCTCACCATTGGTGAGCATCACCAGCAGTTGGTCAGGGTTTCTAGAGGAAATCATAAAATCCTGTTTTCTGGTGATTCATCACTGTTTTCAGAGGTAGGAGGCTGGACTACATGGACTAGGGATGTGATCTGTTAGAGCAATTTCTCTGTCATGTGTCAAAGCAAAGCAGCACAACTTCCCTGTGGGCAGGGTATGGGCTTCCCCAGATGCTGTAAAAGAATAGCACTCGGCTGGTTTCAGTACAACTCTGCTGGATTATGGTGACTGAGAGTATGGTTCAGCAGGTGTAGATTTAACCAAAGGAGAGAAAAAAGGAGATGCACCCTACTTTGAGCAGCACATAGTCTGGCACATATCTTCAATGTCTGAGGTACTATGTGGGAGAGCTCAGCTGCTTAGTCCCTTATTTATTTTCTACCTGCACCAACTGCACGCATTGCTTAAGTTGACTTCTGGAGAAAGATAACCCTTTCTCCTCTGAAACTTTTCATAACTAATTACGTCTCTGTTTCAACCACTGCTAGAACCTCCAGCATGAGGTGTGAGTTAAGTTAACCCATCTCTCCCAAGTGCTTGTTTCTCAAAGTCATTTTGAATTTCCTTTAATGGTCTCATTTCACTTTCAGCTACTACTGATCATTGTTTTCAAGCACTTTACCGGAGGACTCAGCAGAGATGGCAATTCGTATGGCTTCATGTCAAGTTGTCATGACTTTTAAACATCAAGCCTAAGAATATCCCAAATACAAAGTTTCTCAGCAGTAACAGAGACCAGAAATTCCAGAAAGTAGATAAATTACTTCTTTTCTGTCCAGCTGAATCCACCTTTATAAACTGGAGCAGTGAGAGATTTATGTAGCAATCATTTTGTTACTATTGCTCAAATAATTCATTTGTTATGTAGGGCGAATGCAAAGTAAAATGCATGTTAAAATATAAAGCAATGAGCAGAGATCCTATTAATACCTGAAAAAATTCATTTCAGAATTGTGTTACTATAGTTGAACAGCAAGAAGTACTATTTTAAAAGTCACTCATGCTGATTTATAAAATGTATTTTGAATTACCTAGTGGAGGAATATGATGCATGTAAAAAGCCATGTCTTAATTTTCTTTTCAAACAGTGTCCTTAATCCTCTTTCTGTTCTAATATTAGGATGTATGAACCATCTCTAGGGCCTCGTAATTAAAAGCAGTCTGTCTATGCTACTTTAAAACCCAAATGTAGTCAGAATTTGTAAAGGTTTTTAAAGATAAAGTTGTGTTCTATTTTTTTCCCCTAGGCAGATATTATTGCTAGGATGTAATAGTCTCCATGATTTCCAGTAAAGTTTCTGTGGAAGCTAAAAAGAAGTCCTGGTTGCACTGCTCACTGAAAACATTCTGAGGGCCAATAAATCAACTTCCTGAGACTGAAAAGGCAATATAGCAGTGATGTTTTCATCTGTACTCTTTTCAAAGCCATTAGAGGTTTAGAATGGCCTACAGTCTTCCTCAGAAATGTCTCAGAAAGCCTTCAATCCATCATTTCAATTAAAATCACTACCCCCTGAGCCCCTGGCTTTGCCTTGAACAGCACAGTTTGTGAAAGAGCAAACCCTCTGCTCTATTCCACATAAGACTCCCTGTGTCTTGAAGATCCATATACCAAAGAAGGCTTCGGTGCAGTATTTACTTGTTTGAATACAGTTCAGTTGCTTTCTAGACTCTATTGACTCTATTGACTCTGGGTTTAATTCAGTTAGGTAAACATGGCTGTGTAGAATTATTTGAGACATCAAATGATGCATTTGAGACTTCTGCATGGGGCTGGCAAAATTAATGCAGAATCTACACAAGAGGGCTGGGATACCCTATAGCATCCCAGACAGCACTAACCACTCCTGGCTAGGTGAGACACTTTTTAAATTTCCACAGACTGCAAAAGAAGCTCCAATAACAAATTCACATGTAGACACTGACGTTGTAGACTCTTTCTCAGCATTTAATTGCCTTTCCAGAGGAAATCATTTGGGGATGTTCTAGGGTATTAGGAACATCCTCACAATCACAGCAGATATGATACAGGACTACAGGCAACATGAAACTTTCTGGAGTGGGAGATGAAACGCATAAGCAAAATGCATAACAGCATCTAAATGACGCTAAGTATCTGTACTTAAGAAGATTAATCTAGACCCTGTTCAACAGCTGATGTATACAAATGCATTTAGTTGTTTAAATGTAGTATCTTAACCCGTGAGATTATCACTCCTTAAACTCCCAAAACAATCATTAATTTCTTCATCTGATAAAATGAAAACAGTGCCTCTGTCTAAGGAGTGCCTAAGGAGCATCCTCAGATAATATGCTGATAAAATTTTGTAGTCACTCAGATTAAACTATCGCCAAGACTGCCATTATTCTATTTTCTCTAAATTCTTCATCTTCAGCATTTGGAAGGACATAATGGATATAAAACTTCTGCTCCTCTATATTGCTTCTATTTTTATAATTATACCAACGGCATTCAAAAGGGAAGGGCTCACACTCTTCTCTCTCAGTAGGATGATTTGTATGGCACTATAATGTCAAGGTTTCAAAGAAGACCAGGAGCCCATTCTAGTAGTATCAGCATCAAACCAGAGTAGGCACACCTTCCTGAGGAGTAATTAAGATTTTATTGTCACTCTTAGGGGTAATTCCTCCAATAAAGAAAACTTGATTATCAGAAGGCTGGAGCACGTCTTCTATGAAGACAGGCTAAGTTGGGGTTGTTCAGCCTGGAGTAGAGAAGGCTCTATATGACCTTATAACCCCTTCCAGCACCTAAAGGGGCCTACAGGAGAGGTGGGGAGGGAGTGTAGTGATAGAATGAGGGGTAACGTTTTTAAACAGAAAGAGGGAGATTTCAATTAGATTATTAGGAAGAAGTTCTTCGAGGGTGGTGAGATACTATAACACACCTACAGGAGAGGTGGGGAGGGAGTGTAGTGATAGAATGAGGGGTAACGTTTTTAAACAGAAAGAGGGAGATTTCAATTAGATTATTAGGAAGAAGTTCTTTAAGGGTGGTGAGACACTAGAACAGGTTAACCAGAGAACTTGTGGATGCCCCATCCCTGGAGGTGTTCAAGACTGGGTTGAATGGGGCTTTGAGCAACCTGGTTTAGTGGGAGGTGTTCCTGCCAGGGGATTGGAACTTGACAGTCTTTAAGGTCCCTTCCAACCCAAACCATTCTATGATTCTATTTTGCCAATAGGTAGGTTTGAACCCGCAAAATAATCAACTTAAAAAAGAAACCCGCCATGTATAGTTAAAGAAATGTATTGCCAATAGGTAGGTTTGAACCCACAAAATAATCAACTTAAAAAAAAAACAAAACCCGCCATGTATAGTTAAAGAAATGTATTTATTTTAATTTGTTTTATAGGGAAGAAATACTTATACATGGTCAGACTGCACGTATGTTTGGGCAACTCATTGTGATGACCCATATAGCTGATGGGTTCATCCAATTTTATCAAAGAGGGGTAGATCCAAACACAGTGAAATTTAAGTTTTGTGAAAAACGTAAGTGTAAATAAGAGGTGGTATAAATGTCTGGATTGGAGAACAGGTGCTACGTGAACTTGACTATTAGATACACTTGAGTGTATCGAATCCATACGAGTGTGCATATCCAGACTTTTACACGAATTCATAAATGTATGACATCATGGCCTTCTCCTGCCAATTACATGTCCTATTTGAAGAGAAAATTTCAGCTGGAGTTTTGACATTCTTAGACTTCAAAGTATCAGCCAGGAGGTACAAAATTGAAGGAAACGTTCTTGGTCCAATAATCACAGAACTTCTTGGTTTGTTTTGTCCTTCTCTCACTGAGGTTGTGGGAATCCATCCAGAATGCAAGATATTCCAGCAGGTTGTCAAAGAGGAGGCTCTCTGCTTAGAAAAGAATGAATCTGTTTCACCTGATCTTAAAGGTAATGGTCCTAATTGTCCAACTCTGATATGAATATCCCTTGTATATAATTTCAGGGGCACAATGTTAAGATAACATTTGTTCTCCTGAGTCAAGATTTGTTTCCTATTTTATTTGGTTTCTTAATAACTTGAATATAGTCTGGGAGTTCACCTCATCTCATTTTAAACATCTTTAAAAGCCCCATATCTAAATCAGGACTTGTGTTCTTAGATTCCCTACAAGTAAATGGAGGAAGATGGGTGTCCCTAGAATATGTTTCATTGGCCCTGGCTTAGATGTTTACTTTAGAATGAGATGAATCATTCTCTGGAGTAGTATTTCTCTTTCCTAACTACGGAATGAGATTAAGATGATTAGGTCAGACCTTGACAAGTTCAGATGCTCAGTTAGGGCAGGAAAACCCTACTTGGAATTTCTTACATTCCTAAAGAATTGGATGTGTTCTCTATTTGTATTCAAAACTCTAAAGAAGCTTCCACAGAAGACTGAAAAGCATGCTGAAATTACATCATGTTGGGAATCATTCTAATCTGGTGAAAATGTTATTTGGGAAAAAATGAAAGAAAAGAAATTCTCAGCTTCTTCAAAATATTCTGCTTCTATTTTTGGACATTCTTTGTTTGTTTGTTTGTTGTTTTGAAAAGGTTTATTCTGGTTATGTTTTGAAATCCATTAGATGCTCAAATATAAATTTTGAAAATTAAAATCACCATTTCTGGAGCCTGTAAAATATTTTTTTATGGGCTATGTACGGGGTTCTCTTTGCTGGGACTTTGGCATTGTGGAGACATATTTTGAATTGATTCAAAGTGAGCTTTCTAAATGTTCAAACTCTTTCAAAAGTTCAGTTGTATTTTTTTTCTGGCCAAATTTGCTTAGAAATGTATGAATCCACCTACAGTTACATGTTCATTTTCTGCAGAAGAGTTATGAGACAAATGTGCCTCGTGCACTTAGTGTTAATAGAAGTATTGCAACCACCTGAGAGTCTTCTTTTAGCAGCCTATGGAAATTGAGAGACTAACCCCACCATGATATTTCCTTGATCTACTTATTTATTCTTCTGCAGCCTTTCCAACCACTTTAATATCTGATATCCTTCTTGTACCTTCCTAATCTATTTTAGTGGTGTTTTCCTGCATCTTTAATCAAGTCCAGAATACTTTCTGGACACATTTTGCACTTGGAACATCCAGTAACCCACCCAAAAAAGTTCTGAAAAAATTTTCGATAATAATTTATTATATGTATTACTGTATAACATTCCAAGTGCTTTTCTCTTTACCAGAAAAATAATTACATGATTTAGAAATCTTATTTGTGACAAAGGCTACTCAAAGAAACAAAAATCCCCCAAAGTTCTGTTAAACTATGTAAAAGTCTTCAACCCTGATCTTCTCAAAGCTCTCCTTTCCACCTTTTGTTCTCTAAAGATGGAAAGATTTTAATGAAAATCTGTTCTGGTATTTACAGCCTTTCTCAAAATATTTTAAAATGAAACATTAGATTTGGAAAAACAATTAATCCCCAGTATTTTTTATGGGGTGTTTTAAAGCTAGACTAAGATTGGTGAAAGTCCCTAGCTTGCATTTTGATTTTCAGGAACCAAACAAGAAAAACTGAAGGATCACAGTTTTTACAGAGTTACTTCCCAGTAACTTCCAGTACAGATAATCTGTTCTGGAATTAGTCTGTGTTGCAGACTTTTTAATCTAAAGCAGTTCCACATTATTTTTATTGTTCAGAACAGTGTCTGATGAGTGTCATCAGTAGAGTCCAGGGTGCAATTCCTCTCATCTTGAAGTAGATGTGTAAAATAGGTCGACTGAATCAAAGGCTAAAAATGTTTATTTTTCTCCATTGTCTTAAAAAAAAAAAACAAAAAACCAAAGATCCCCGGGTTACTGAAAAAGACTTAGATATCTATGATGTTGATATTACTTAATACAATTCCTACAGTTCTCTTTATGGAGTCTCAGGTGACTTGGACAATCACTAGTCTCTTGAAAGCCTCAGTGCGTAAAATGTTCTTTCTGCCTCTGCACTCATCTGTTTCTTTTATATAAATTGTAGAAGTCACTGAAAATGAAGCCAGATCTAAGACTTAAAACACACAGATTCTACTCCTACATAAAGTCACCTGATTCTTGGTTTTAACCCCATAATGCCAAATATTGTAGATTTTTGGATCAAGCTCCTCAAAGGTACTATATTCCCTCTATGAGGGATCCTTTAAGTCTCTACTTCTGAGTGTGTGGGCCGCTGCATGTCTAAGTGGGACTCCTATTACCTGATTTTATTAATTTGAAAATTTGCAGCCTGGTTTAGGCTATATTCATCAGAGAGACCTAGGTATTTGCAGTGGGTGATTCATCCTGCCCTCAGAAAGGAGCAGCCAATACATGGGATGAATCATGTGCTGGAAGTCCCTGTCTCTCTCCACTGATTACAGAGAGAACATAGCTAAGATGAGCTAACATATTTTAGACAATTAAAATTAGAGATAATGAATCGGGGCTTCTATTTTCCCATTTGGCAAACTGGGGATGCCAGGAATTTCTTTCTCCCAAGGGTGATGTGAGGATAAAGTTGTGGGAGATTCTCAGGACTATCCTTTTGGAAGCCTGAGAGTAACTTTGCTCAGCTACAGGGAAGCAATATTGCTTCCACATTTCAGCTCTTGACAATTTTAGATTTGCCTTGTCATTAGTCACAGAGGAAACAGAAAAGAATCAGTGAAAGAAAATAACACCTCCCAAATGAAAGTCATGCACTTCTTTATACCCACCTTACGACCACCTAGAGATTAGTTTCAGTTACAGCACGCTGCGTTTTTTATTGGTTCAGCCACCTTTACATGCCAATAATTTCTCTGGGCTGCACCCACACCTACTTGCCAACAGACACTGCGTGACCTCAGCTTGAGTTTCAGCGTGATGCATCTGTGACAAAGCTGTGATTAACTCCAACTTCTGAAAACCCTTTGTATTGAACTCATAGCTAGTAACGTGTCCTGCGTCATCAGCTAGCAACCTCGGATTTAGGGATCCTTGTGAATGCTAACCAGTCAGATCTATGCCTGATGATGTTTATCTTATATGATGTTGGGAGATGTTCTTCTAGTTTGGGATGAATTCAATCCCTGTTCAAGTCCATTGTAAAAACCCCATTGATTGCCAAAGACCTGGACTTCAACCCTTATGTTATTTTCTTCAAGCTGTATGAAATTGGTACACTGAAAGCATGGAATCAATAGGCTAATGATGAATTTTTAAGTCCGATGCTTTCCTTGAGACTCTGAAACCAGTAATGGGAAATCTCAAGTGCTATTAATTATTCAATATTTTGATTTTAGTGACTTTTGTTGTGACAATAGAAAGAGGTCTGGATGATTTGACTTTCAAATTGTGTCTGCTTGAATTTCAGGTACATTCTCTCATGAGATAAGTTAGGGAAAGGTCCAGCTGGAATGCCAAGTGTGTATGTAAAGCGATGATGCTTTCAAGGAGAACAGGAAAGAAACACAATCCTTCATTTGCAGAACTGCATGTGCTGTTGTGGCTCTTCTTCATGCATGTGAATTAGTGGGAAAGCCACAGACAATCTTGTTATGGAAGATCAGCTGTGTGATGTTCTCTGTCTGTTTCTTTATTTAGAGGCACTTTTTTTTTCAGGATGTGCCAGAGATTGGGATGGTCTAACCTGCTGGCCCAGAGCCACTGTTGGGGAAGTGGTTAAAGTTCCCTGTCCAAGATTTTTTGAAGAAATCACCAATATCCATGGCAAGACTTTTTTCCTATTCTTTTTATGCCTCCATATTTTTAAAATAAATTCTAATAAGTGAAGATTCAGTAATATGTTTATTTTCCTGTTTCACAATGCTATATTATGTCAGTCAACATATGGTAGTTATCCCATACACATCTTAGATTATGTTGTTCAGAATTGCCTAGTCTCTTTGGTGGTCTAAAAACTGTCCACTACTTTGATACACATCTTAGATTATGGTCAATGTTTGGCACTCTCTTGAGTTGTGCTGTTCTGAATTGCCTAGTCTATTTGGTGGTCTAAAAACTGTCCACTACTTTGCTGACATCATAGGACTATAAGTATGTCATAGAGTCACTGATTTATAAAGGCATAGAATAATTAATGTTAGAAAGGACCTCTTGAGGTCATGTCTTGCAACCCTCCAGTCAGAGCAAGACCAAGTTCAAAAATTATATCGAACTTCCAAGTTAGATCAGGTGGCTCAGGGTTTTGTCCACTAGCATAAATTATGTTGTAAATGCAGGATAAACAGCATAATTTTATTTCCTCTGTGTAAAAAATGAATTTTCAGAATGAATTTCCTACATGAAATGTAGAAGTTCTACTGCATCTTGAAAAGCATTGGAACTCAAAGTCTCAACTTTTCAAATGGTGGATATATAGAATATTATAACTCTATACCTAATCTTGATGAACCTGACTAGACCTCTAAGTGACTAACTTAAGAATCAAAGTAGGAATAAAAATTTGTTCTTTCTTGTCAAAACTTAAAAACTTCTTCCCCCCTTTAATTTATTCTCTGATATATTTTACCATTAAAGGCTTCCTTCAGAGAAATTGTACACAAGAGGCATATTGGTCAGAACCATTCCTTGCCTAGTCTCTTTGGTGGTCTAAAAACTGTCCACTACTTTGCTGACATCATAGGACTATAAGTATGTCATAGAGTCACTGATTTATAAAGGCATAGAATAATTAATGTTAGAAAGGACCTCTTGAGGTCATCTCTTTCAACCCTCCTGTCAGAGCAGGACCAAGTTCAAAAATTATATCGAACTTCTAAGTTAGATCAGGTGGCTCAGGGCTTTGTCCACTAACATAAATTACATTGTAAATGCAGGATAAACAGCATAATTTTATATCCACTGTGTAAAAAATGAATTTTCAGAATGAATTTCCTACATGAAATGTAGAAGTTCTACTGCATCTTGAAAAGCATTGGAACTCAAAGTCTCAACTTTTCAAATGGTGGATATATAGAATATTATAACTCTATACCTAATCTTGCTGAACCTCACTAGACCTCTAAGTGACTAACTTAAGAATCAAAGTAGGAATAAAAATTTGTTCTTTCTTGTCAAAACTTAAAAACTTCTTCCCCCCTTTAATTTATTCTCTGATATATTTGTAAATGCAGGATAAACAGCATAATTTTATTTCCTCTGTGTAAAAAATGAATTTTCAGAATGAATTTCCTACATGAAATGTAGAAGTTCTACTGCATCTTGAAAAGCATTGGAACTCAAAGTCTCAACTTTTCAAATGGTGGATATATAGAATATTATAACTCTATACCTAATCTTGCTGAACCTCACTAGACCTCTAAGTGACTAACTTAAGAATCAAAGTAGGAATAAAAATTTGTTCTTTCTTGTCAAAACTTAAAAACTTCTTCCCCCCTTTAATTTATTCTCTGATATATTTTACCATTAAAGGCTTCCTTCAGAGAAATTGTACACAAGAGGCATATTGGTCAGAACCATTCCCACCATACACCGTTGCCTGTGGATTTGATGAAGGTTCCAGTAAAGGGCCCGAGGATCAGGTGAGTTTTTTATTTCTGGCTTGTGGACATCTCCAGAGCACCCTCTTCTGAATGTGCTGGGTAGCTAGATGCTCCCACATATCTGAGACTTGTCAGAACCCAGTAATTACCTGTCTCCAGTGTTAAACTCAAACCTTTCAGGTATATTTAGAGTCCGTTTAACAAATCAGGCTTAATATGAAGCAAGAGAGCACAGGTAGCACTTTCCTCTCCATTCAGTTGTCTACTTTTGGTGTTAATGAGTAGACTCATCATTAGTTCACTTGTCCTGCCTATAAAAGTCTTTGATTCTCTGACAAAGGTGACTTGAATCCATGTCATGCTCCCATCCCTCAGGGAAGCCCTACTGACCTGTCTGTTGGGAAGTTTTCAGGCAAAATTTCTTTGGATCTCTTCTGTTGCATGAAAAGAGGTTGTATCGAGGGGCAGTAAGCCTCTTCTCCCAAGTAACAAGTGATAGGACAAGAGGAAATGGCCTCAAGTTGCACCAGGGGAAGTTTAGACTGGATATTGGGAAAAATTTCTTCACTGAAATCATGCTCCCATCCCTCAGGGAAGCCCTACTGACCTGTCTGTTGGGACTCCCATCCCGCAGGGAAGCCCTACTGACCTGTCTGTTGGGAAGTTTTCAGGCAAAATTTCTTTGGCTCTCTTCTGCTGCATGAAAAGAGGTTGTATTGAGGGGCAGTAAGCCTCTTCTCCCAAGTAACAAGTGATAGGACAAGAGGAAATGGCCTCAACTTGCACCAGAGGAAGTTTAGACTGGATATTGGGAAAAATTTCTTCACTGAAAGCATTATCAAACATTGGAACAGGCTACCCAGAGAAATGGTGGAAACTCCATCCCTGGAAATATTTAAAAGATGAGTAGATGTAGCCCTTATGGTTAGTGGTGGTTTTGGCAATGTTAGTTTAGGGGTTGGACCCAATAATCTTAAAGGTCCCTTCCAACCTAGACTATTCTATGATTCTACGATCCCCTTATCTTTACTTTTATTGGACAAGGCTCATACATCTTGCACAAATGCAAGATGGGGTACATCACAGCCTCCTCCTCCTATTGTGGTATTTTGATAGAAGCAATGGACTCCTTGGAATCTGTGAAAGAAAAGACTAACTCATATAGCTCGTTGTAAGTGTGCAGTAATGACTCGACAGTGGGAAATTGCCATTTGTCACAGGCTGTAGCAAGGCTCAGAAAAATGGAGAGGGTTGTCACGACTAACACTCTGGGTGTTATCTGGAGTAAACCATTTTGTTCTCCAGGCATGCAAGCTCAAGCACAGACGTATCTGAATCTTTAGGAAGCGTAGACACAATTGGCTTCAGCCAATTCAGAAACTCAGCAACAGCTGTAACATACAGTACAGATATCTGGAGCTCAGTTCCCCAACCGTAAACTAAAAATATTTGTACTCCTTTACACTGTGGGGAAGCTAGAAAGATAAGTCCTTAAAAAGCTTGTAGAAAGATGGTAGAAATAATGTAAACAGTTCAGAAGGGATGTAAGACTCATAAGGCAGCATGTATTCTGGATCACAGTTCTCCAGCCCCAGGGCCAGCTGCCATGGCAGAGCTTTCACCCACAGAGCTGAAGTCTCCTCTTCCCCAGGGTGCTTTTCTCCAAGTGGTCCCTGGCTTGTACTAAGCCAGGTGTAGTTTGTAGCTGGCTTAGGCTGAGAGCAAGCAAGGGACTATATTTACATTTTAATGTTACGGAAGATTTCAGGGCAGAACTCATGTCTGTGCTGCGGCTGTGTTGAGTTTGTTATTCCAGTCAAACCCACAAGCTCTATAAAAGGAAGATAAGATCAGTAAGCACTTCTGCATTGTAAACACAGGGAATTATCTGAGAAGAATCCCACTTATATACTAAGAGAACCTCTTGTTTTGTGTTTTGTGTCTGCAATGAGGACTTATGATGTCTTCCGCATACAGTGCTGGTTTTTTAGCTGCCCTACAAAACCAGATACAATGCATGGAAATACTCCACTGTTCAATTGAAGAACCTATTTTCTAATTTTTCTCATTTTCACCTGTATAAAAATTAGGACTGTTTCAGAAACGCCAGGATGATTCCTAGGTTGTCAGGGTTGCATGATTTATTTATGGATCTACTTAAAATTGCTAATCGGTTGTGTCAACCTAGAATTGCTGCCTTTTGGATAAACAGAATTTGGATCAATTAGAGAACAAAGTGTCCATTGCATTTGCAAGGAGGAAATTTGCCTGGATTCAGAGAACTTAGTTTCTTGGGATTTTGAATAATTAGGTGATCTTGTAGCAAATCAGAGTAAAATTTGCATAGAAAAAGCAATGTAAAAATGGTCTATTTTTCTTGCAACATAGGACATTTGAGTGCAAAATAAACAAACAAATGAACTATAAAGAATTTACAGTGTTTCAGTAGTAGTAGTGAATTAATTGTTTTTCCAAAGAAGAAAGATTGTGAGGTTTTCTTGGCTTTAACTTTCCTACTGCCACAGTGTGATGTGACTATTTCCCAGGACTTTGGTTTCCTCTCCTGTAAAATGCAAGTGTTATTTAACTCTAGCTGTTTGTAAAAACTAACACTTATCAAATTGAGGGGAAAGATCCTTTGAGCTAAACAGAGTAGAATCTGGCCCAAGTCTAAAGTGATGGAACCCAAATCACCCATCAACAAGCTCCAATGTCCTAGAGTTGTCATGTACCTACAGGAGAAAATGTAGTTGACAAAAATAACATTTTCCTATTGAACATTCTTAAAGGGGTCACTTTTTCATATGAACCTGTGGGTGGTGGAACTTGTCTCATGTGTAAGGTTATGAAGGATTCAAAAGAAAAAAGATGTGTTAGCAATGGAGGGAAAAGCCTGAATTAAAACAGCACACAGGTGGTGGGACTGACTAGTAAGGGCAAATATATTTTAGTGAAATGAGCACACCAGGATGCATGCTGCATAACCATCAGCTTTGGTCTGTGTTTTCTTTTTCTCATAGAAATCATATTATTCTGCATTTTGGCGTGTCTACACTGCTGGCTATGCAGCATCAATGACTTCACTCATTACAGCTCTAATTGTCTTTGCTGCCTTCAGGTAAAAAAAATTGGTATCTTTTCAGGATGTGTCAAGATAACCTTATCCTATTTCCTCTCAAACCCTCTGTGTTTTTGTTTTGCTTTTTAAATATTATTATTATTTTTGAACTCTTCTCAGATATTACAGTGTTGATTGCAATGTGTCCCTCTCTATTCATATTGTGTCATTTCACTGCAGACGTTAAAAAATAAACCTGGCTGGGCAGTTTGTCTCAGTCCCTTTAATTTTACCATACAGTGGAAATGCTCCAATCTGTGTTCCCTACTAATATAAAATAACTATCTCTCCAGTGCACAGCAGGACATGTTCTGCAGAAACTGAGTGTCTTATGCCTTGAATCTGTAGTCATTCGAAGATGTCCATTCCCTTTGTGAAAGACCATTGCTTTCATAACTGGGAGCTAGAGAAAACAGATTTAACGGTATTTAAATATCATGTTTGAGGATGTTGAATACTAGGAATTGGATCCTGCATTTGATAAGTTCCAATGTACTTGGACAAAAGCAGTGCATAGCACGGAAGCAGCTTCCTAACTGAATTGGATTGGCAGTCTCAAAGGTCATATCACTTTATAGAAGGACCCAAACCTTGAAGGAGGTTCCATCAGTTCAAGGTCAAACCATGGACAGGGTCATCTTGGGAAATGCAATCTATGCTAAGGCAGCTACTTCTCTGGCAGCCATCCCACCACATGCGACTGACACCCACTTAGTATTCGGTTCTCCTGTGGCCAAAAAGGGCCTGAAGAGCCTATTTGCAAGCTTTTTAAACAAAAAATACTATTTATAATAATTAAAAGCCATTGTTATGATATAGCCCAAGAGCCCCAGAATTACTCTTTGCTTCTGGCATCTCCTTTAAATGTGTGGTAATTCAAGGACAATTATACTAACACTTTTATTAGCTTAAACAGGTAATAACTGTTCTGCTCCCTTGTGTCTTTCTGCCTCTTAAACAGTGACAGACCATTTATTTGCTTTGGAAGGTGTCTGCAGTCGCCCTGTATTCCCACTAGAGTTTTGATGAGACAATGAGAAATTTCTCTTGAAGAACAATTTTTATTTTCTCTTTCCACGTTAGAAAATTCCACTGTACACGGAATTACATCCATATGCACCTGTTTGTCTCCTTTATCCTGAGAGCAATTGCTGTTTTCACCAAAGATGCTGTTTTGTTTGCAGATGAAACTATGGACCACTGCCTAATGTCAACGGTACTAAACTTCCCCTTTATTATCCTTGATTTAACACAATTATTGACCTAAAAAGTACATGGAGATTTCTTAATCTCATTTCTCTTTAGTTTGCTAGAACTGAAATTTTAAAAAAAGCAATGCTACACAAAACCAAAGACCAAGTGTTATGGGTTACGTTCAGTTTTGGTATAATGTACAGGTCTGTCAGCTCTAATGAAGCTGTATCAATTTCTATCAGTAAAGAATTTCAGCTGTTACAGAGGGCTAATGTTTCCTTTTAAAAAAATAATTGACATAGTCAACTAAAATGATGGAATCCCAAACCTACTGAAATGTTGTATTAATGTCCTCATTCTTGTGCAGTAATTTTGCCTATACTTGTGGAGAAATCTATACATAATGGAAAGTAGACCTGATATTTTTTTTTCTTCCTCTGCATTTACAGGTTTCTTGTAAGGCTGCTGTGGCATTCTTTCAATTCAGTATTTTAGCCAATTTCTTCTGGCTTCTCATAGAAGGGATATACCTGCAAACACTGCTTTTGCTGACCTTTGTTTCAGACAAGCAGTATGTATGGTGGTTCATATTTACTGGCTGGGGTTAGTATTCTTCTCCTTTTTGTGGTATTTGGTATTGCCGTTTACTTTTAGAACTGGATAAAATATTTGGTCTGAGATAAAAAGTGCCTATCAAGGGTACCGCCTTTCTGATGAAATTTGCCTATTCATCCAGTGCTACTACATCAAAACCATACCATTATTCTGTCTTTCTTCGTATCTTGTTAGATATTTAACCATTCAAAACTTCGAAGGAGAGGATAGGAAGGATTCCAAGAAGCACTGTGATAAGTCTACTTGAAATCCTGTAGCACTAGTCTTCATGATTTGAATTAATTTCATGCACCAACAGTGATTTAATAGTTAGGCAGCTAATCTAAACTATCTCTCCAGGTTTCTCCTGTAGTCAGTAGAGTGAGGTATGCATGCCAGGATGGTGATTAATCCAGTTCTCAAGAAGATGAGTAACGTAGCTGGATAACATCCTGGAAACATGTTGCCTAAAGAAGTTTGAATGACTAACTTTAAATTGACATTTTGGTTTTAGTAAGAAGAATTAGATTCTGCTTACTAAGATGAGAATTAGGAACTCACTTAAATCACGTGAGTTCATGAGTTCATGCCTAGGAATCAAACAGGTTTTTTTTCTTTTTTTTTATTTTTTCAGAGACCTACTGGCTCTAAGGAATCTTCTGACTTTATACAAGAATGAAAATTACCTCTGATTGTCAGAATATGTGCCTGTAATATATAAAATTACTTACACCACAGGGAATTGTTCATTGTGACTCTTAGATATTCTTGTACCTCACCTTGGTTATTCTAAAATAGAGGCACCGCTATTGAGCAGTTACATTGCCATTTTTGGCTTAGAAGTGAAATCCAAGTTCTTCTGAAGTAAATAGTAATTTCTCTTTAATCTTCAGATTCTCAGGCTTTCTATTTTTTTTTTAAATGCAACTAAATTTTAGAAGTCTGAATTTTATATAGAGGATGTTGAATTGGATCTATTCCAATTATGATTGCCTGAAACGAAACAGTTAGATCTTGATTAATCACAGCCAACTTGAGATAACAAAAGAAACATCTTAATTAATAATATAGTAACCCTTATCTCCTTCTATAATCAATGTAAGGTGAGAGACATCTCAGCGGTAACTCAGATCTTAGGTGATATGGATGTAAATATTTCTCTTCATTAATTAAAAACAGAACTTGAACTCATTACAGGCAAGATTAAAGGCCTTGAACAAAGATCTAAAGTCAGGAAGGACAACGTCTGGGCCTTTCCTACAGGTCTCAAATTATACTTAGGAAGATATTACCAATATTTCTATAGAAATAGTTACCTGCTTCAGATTAGAGTCCCTTTTGTGACAGCTTTGAAAGTCACTTGATTTTTGGAAATTCAGTTCCACAGAAGGGAAACAAAAGCAATTGCTAGTTTATAGGCCCACTTGAAAAAAAAAAAAAAGAAAAAAAAAAGTGAGGCTAGAAATCAACAGTTCCTGGATTTAGCTAAATTTTCATGGAATGTTTATCAACTGATGGGTCTAGAGTGATTAGTAAAGGGTCTTCAAGACAAAAATGTGGTCTTCCAGCTAGTGCAGAGAGTAATATACTGGCAACAGTTCACAAGGTATAAGAGCTCTAGCTAAACTAGAAATCAACAGTTCCTGGATTTAGCTAAATTTTCATGGAATGTTTATCAACTGATGGGTCTAGAGTGATTAGTAAAGGGTCTTCAGGACAAATATGTGGTCTTCCAGCTAGTGCAGAGAGTAGTATGCTGGCAGCAGTTCACAAGGTATAAGAGCTCTAGCTAAATAAATGATTCCTCCAACTTCACAAGTGCTTGTAATTCATATCCAAATCCTCAAGTAATTCCTAGCTGTTATTTTTGAAAACATAGTTTCACAGCATCCCCTATTCTCTTTTTGTTTGATTTCATTCTCCTGCCTTTTTTTTTTGTTGTTTTTTTTTCTTTCCCTGAACTGCAAGTTAAGTTCTTCTATGAAGTTACTTAAAATGGTCTGATAATTTGTTTGGCTTTTAATGTACAACCAATCTGATTTGATTTCATTCTCCTGCCTTTTTTTTGTTGTGTTTTTTTTTTTTTTTTTTTTTCTTTCCCTGAACTGCAATGGTCTGATATTTTGTTTGGCTTTTAATGTACAACCAATCTGCTGACTGTGAACCCTCTTTGAATATATTTTCCATGGGAAATAGTGTTCAAAACAATTATATTTTGTTCCATGTTGATTTGTGCAGGAGCTCCCACTGCAGTGCTGTTTGCTTGGGTCCTCACAAGAATCCATCGACAAAATACTGGGTAAGTCAGAGGTTGGATAAGGAAACCAAAGACATCCTATTTTGTATTGTATTTTGATTTTCTTCTGGGGAAAAAGTAATTATAAAAACCAGAAAAGCAAAAAAATTTTTCCAAAGTTGTGCCTCTAATCTTTACACTAAATATGCAAGTAAGTGACAAAATAGTTTTAAACCCTCTGATTTTGATGTGCATATATGGAGTAATAAAACCTGGAAATACCATAGTGAATATTGACAGGGGGGAGCATGATATAACCTAGCATGTATGGCACTTGACTGGAAGGAGTTAAACTGGACTGTTATTAATGTTAAATACATTAACAGCCTCAAAACAGGGAGCAAAACCCCATTTTGCTATGGGCTGGATACACAGTAGTTTATTCTCTCACCTGTACTCTGTAAAACAGTCACTTTTCCAATAGAAGAGCAGGAAAGAAGCCTGAAAATACACGTGTGCTTCTTTTGACTTTGCTTTGTTTCTTCAACTTCTTACTGAGTAGGTTTTCTTTTGATTGGGTTGCGCTAAGAGTTTTAGAGAGGTATCAGGGTACAAATACTGGCTGGGATCTTTAAGAAGTGATTTAAAACTTAGTGTCCATCACTTTCTTATTCTGTGACAGAAATACTTCCATGCGTTGTGGGAAGCTCACATGGGACAGATAACATGACTGGTTTTGTTTGTTGTTTCAGATGTTGGGATGATGACGAGAATGGAGTGGTGTTATGGATCATCAAAGGCCCCATTCTGCTAACAGTATTAGTATGTTTTTTTTCATTTTGCCTTGAATATCTTTTGGAATGTGAAAGCTAAATTAGTGTCTCCTTTCAGTGAGCTAGGAAAAAAGCTATACCACATTCTATGGTATTGAATTTCAAATAGCTGGAAATTATTGTAGAGCATGTGGTTTTGTTGCTGTTGATTTTAGTTTTGTTGCTTTTTTTTTTTCCTCTAAAAACACCCTAAGTTTTACAACCTTTACACCCTTTACAACATAAAGGGTAAATCCTATATTTTCTATGGAATGTGAAAGCTAAATTAGTGTCTCCTTTCAGTGAGCTAGGAAAAAATCTATACCACATTCTCTGGTATTGAATTTCAAATAGCTGGAAATTATTGTAGAGCATGTGGTTTTGTTGCTGTTGATTTTAGTTTTGTTGCTTTTTTTTTTTCCTCTAAAAACACCCTAAGTTTTACAACCTTTACACCCTTTACAACATAAAGAGTCTATCAAAACCCAATTAGAGTCATGTTAGGACACAATGGAATTATCTTGACACCTCCATTCCACATACCACAGTCATATCTGTGTCTCCATAAGTCATTTTCTGGAGAAAGGCAACCCATACTGGCAAGATTCTTAGATACTATGAAGGTGGTTTAATGCAAGAAATACATATTGATCTTTTTACATATATTTATATTTATGTATATATTTTTAATGAGTTCCTATGATGTAAACTTAAGACAATAAAATTCTCCCTTATGCACACATTTATTCCATATAAGTTTAGGGAGGAACCAGTATGTCATTTAGGTCTGTATCTGTTATAATCCTTGTCATAAACAATGAAGGGAACAGGGGGGACTATTTAGACCATGATCTGCTTGGCGCTGACTACAAATACAAGGAGTTAATACCAGATATTATTGAGATATGAGGTCTATATTAATTCAACATTACATTCAGTATATCTTGATATATAACTATATATTAATGGGAGAAATAAATATTGTTTCTAATACTATTGATTTGATCTGCACTGGTTTATAGCAATGCACTTCCTACGACTGGGGAATTTTAGTTAATTTGTACCCACTGAACATATGTCCTGATTTCTAGTAAGATTTTTTTTCTTGTCTTTTCAGGTTAACTTTATTTTACTGATTTTTTTCTTGTCTTTTCAGGTTAACTTTATTATATTTATCAATGTGATCAGAATTCTAGTCCATAAATTGAAGTCTCAAGAGGGAGGAGGGAGCCATTCAAGCCACTTTGTGTAAATATTACTGGGTCTCTTGATATTGACCTGTTCCAACTGCTATGAGAAATGTTTTATGGGCAAGAGCACAAAATGTTCTACTTTTTACTATTAGAAAGACAAATCCCCAGAAGAAATAACAATGTAAACTATAATTTTCCTCCCAAATATCACATCTCTCCTTTTCTTCAGGGTAAGGAGGGTGGGGTGGATATGTTGGGAATGATAAGAAAAGAAAAATATAAAGTATTATAACTCCAAAATGTCCCAGCCTGAAAGCGTAAACACTAAATGTCAGGTAATGCATCCATCTCACTTCCAGGCCTTTCATTGGATGTAGTTGCCTCTATTATGGAGCTGTCCTCTGTATTAAAATTTGTTCCAACATATAATTACTATCACTGATTCCATTTTTCTAACATTACATTGTTCCTTAATTATTGGTTTGCTAGGAGACTTGCAAAATCCACGTTACTCTTGATCCCCCTCTTTGGAGTACACTACATTGTATTTGCATTTTTCCCAGAAAGCACTGGTCTGGAAGCTCGCCTTTATATTGAGCTGGGATTGGGTTCTTTTCAGGTAAGTTGGACAAAATGTTGGTCTATCCTAAGAGTTTTGGTCTGAAACACCACACTCTCAGTTTTACATTTTCAGTTGATTATTAGAGCAGGTGTTAATAATGTGTCTAAATTCAACACACACATTCCATCTTGCTCCTTTGCAAGCTCGTTCTGTTGTTTATTCCCTTATCTTATTACTTGAAATCTCACACTGCTTTTGAGTTCTGACTCAGACTTCATACTAATAATCACAAAAAAATACAATATCTACTTTTACTGAATAACAGACTGCCATGAAGACCAGTCCATGGATTAAGGGAAACTGATTGAAACTAATTCCACATACAATAAAGGTGAAGATAAGAGGAATGAAAAAATAAGCATAATATATAACAATCTGTTCTGCCCTTACCTCTTAGCAGTAGTGAATCCATCATGTTAATACTTCCTCATTTCTTTTATTTTGCTATACCACTGTTCAGAACAGAATCTTGGGTTTGAGAGGACCAGGGCCTGGATATGGTGCACTTTGTAATAAATGTTTGAGGTCTTTTTCCTCCCCCTTTCCCCTGTACCCCACAACAGCTTGTCCATGTTGATATGTATTGAAATGATCCCTCTTTCATGCTTACCTCTCAACCACAACCAGAATCTTCTTGAGAAAATCCTTGATGGCCCAAGCCAAAGCTGTGTTGTGGGCTGTGTTGACATTTTAACAACACAGAGAAGCAACGGCCAGTATTCAGGGCTGTGCTTTGCTCAGTTTCCTGATATAGACATAGTCTAGCACAGTCCAGTGTTTGTCTGTGTTAACACAGTCTGTGAAATGGCTTGGCTTCTGGCTGACTAACATTCCCCTAAACAATGCCTGATTGTACTCCTGGGTGAATATGAACCCAATGGGTTGTTTGAACACAGCCAATGTCTTGTTGAGTGAAAGAAGATAGTTCAGCAGTAAAGATGTAAAACAAGAACAGGTCCTCACCCAGTTTATTCACTACTGTAAATATAGGGTAAAACAAGACAGAGATCCCTTCTTCCTTACCTGAGGAAGAAATTGTAGGGGACAGTAAACAGTAAGTTAATGCTTAGTATCTCCATAAAAAGGCAATAACATATATATATATTTTGGTTAGTCCATTGAAGAATTTAATTCTATTATGAAAACCCAATAAATAGTGCCCCATCGCCTAAATTCCAATGGAACAATGGAAAAAATATATTTTTGCTGTCTTGCTCAGATTTTGAATGAAACTTGATGTCTTTGTTTGAACCCAATAAATAGTGCCCCATCCCCTAAATTCCAATGGAACAATGGAAAATATATATTTTTGCTGTCTTGCTCATATTTTGAATGAAACTTGATGTCTTTGTTTGATATATATACAGCTTGGCCAGTCCATTGAAGAATTTAATTCTATTATGAAAACCCAATAAATAGTGCCCCATCGCCTAAATTCCAATGGAACAATGGAAAAAATATATTTTTGCTGTCTTGCTCAGATTTTGAATGAAACTTGATGTCTTTGTTTGATTCTATGCTTTAATCATGGTGGTTGACTTTTTTCTCCCTACCCTCCCTGTCCTAGGGTTTTGTTGTCGCTCTTCTATATTGCTTCTCGAATGCAGAGGTGAGTAGCAATTACATCAGATTATCAAAACCTTTTCAAGTCTTTTTTTTTAATTGTTTTTTTCCTTTTTCCAGAACAGATCTGTGCTTTGATTTGCTCCTGAAAACATGAAACACCCATATATTTTTTTTTCCTTGGTACCTTTGTTGACTTTATTTCTATTCATAGAGTTCTGACAGAAGGACACAAAATAAGCTTTGAAGCAATGACTCTTTACAAATGGTTGGTGACTTTCTTGTCAGGGGCCTGTTTTTCTGCTTTATGTCTGATAGCTATCACAATGATGTCTCAATGGAAAGCTTGTAACACTCCTTACTTCCTTTAGTTTTATTTTCTCCTAGTGAGTTTCTTTCCTTTCCCTTTCCCTTTCCCCTCTGCTTCCCCTTTGCATTTCCTTTTTCCAGGGCAGCTTGAGCATTTTCAGTAGTTTTATTATTCAAACATTTTCTTGCTATCTATTTATTTGGATAAATTCACTGTAGTACATTTTTGAGAGCCTATCATTTTAAAAACTAACTACATTTGCTTGCACTTTCCCCAAAAGAGCAGAATGAAAAAAAAAAACCATGAGAAATTGTAAAAACACATCTCATCCTTCAGTGTCCACTGTCTTACTTTTCTGATTCTTTGTTCTTAAATTCCTTTTCTATAGGTTCAAAGTGAACTGAAGAAACAACTGTGCAAATGGCAGTATCAAGAATACCTGAACTTCACACACAAACACAGGACTTTGTCCAGAGAAAACAGTCCAGTCAACTATGTCACTCAGTTATCACTGCTTGAAAAAATCAGTCCAAAAAGGAAAACATCTGGGTACCAGAATGGTGTAACTTCTGTCTGAGCTTTTCTAGCAGGACACGTTGCTGTGATGTTGTAACATAACTACCTAAGACATGGCCAGCCTGGATCCTTTATGTCTTTCCATAGTGTCAGGAGCCTTCCCTGAATTTCTTGTCCCGAATGTGAGCTGCTTTTCTCACCTGGTACAGACCAGTATCACAACCCTGGTTCTCTCTCTCCTTGAGCACGTAAAATCCACTTGTTTAGTTGTGGAAAGCCAGACCTTGAGCTAATAGATTAACACCCCCAAAAAAAGGAACTATAATTCCTCCCACACCCAGTGTTTGTCATGTCTTTGTTAATGTTTCCCAAATATTCCAGTTTTCAAGAGCATTATGCCTAATCTTAATTAGAAACAGTTATGTGGTGGCAAAGCTTTGCCATAATGCTTAGTGATGTATTACTAGTTGTTTTGAGACAACTTGAGACAATTTAATGGAAATTACATACAGAAACTTGCTGAGTAACCGCTTTTGGAAGGAATCTCAAGGTATTTCAAGAGTGACACAAAAAAAGAACAAGTTACATTATCTGCTTGGGTTTTTTTCTTCCGCTCCTGGTGAATAGCAAGATTAAATTAGTCCAGAGGACCCCAAGCCCTTTCTTGTCGATGGAAAACATGGAGTAGTTGATCATTAGGTAGATTATTTAAATATGAAGGAAGAACACAGAGCAAGCCCAATGCAGTATGCCAGCTGCGCTACCTTGAGCTCAGAATAATTTACAGTCCTAGTCTTAGTGCCCAGACACTTGCCCTTGTGTACCTGGAACAGACTTTCTGCCACCTAACCTTGAAGGTTGGCTGTATCCATCGGTGAAATAGAAGATTAAACTGTGCTATTGTGCTTTTTTGGGGACCTTCTTTTGAGGACTAATCTGGTGTGATTCCTGTAGTTATCTCAGTCCTGTCCATCATTTCTCAGCTCATTATCACTCCACTCAATTATGTTTCTGGGTTCAGAATTATCAACACAACATTGTGGTCTAGTGAAGCAAAATACGGTCCAGTGAAACAGAGTGAACAAATGTGCTCGCATCACTTATTTGGGTGGCCTTACTCTTTCTTCAGAACTCAGTTGGACACTACCTCAAACTCTCCAAAAGTAAAGAAAGGGCACACAAGGTACACTGGACACATCTCTATTTCCTTTCAAGATAGTACCATCCTCAGGAGAACCTGCATCCAAACCTGAAAGCACTGCTAGAGATCATGGTCATTCAAGTACATGGTGGTTTTCTGTGAACTGCTATATCACTTTAGCTTTAAAAAGTAGTGCTCCAGTCTCTTGTTTTGCTGTATTCTTGGTTAAATATTTAGGCCAGGGGACATTTGACTCTGTTCATTTTAGGTGCTTCATTTCTCATTCCATTATTAGAGCAGAAATGAATTGTTCAGATTTCTATATGTATAATTCAAATCAGTCCTTTATTAGTTAGGCATTTACCCCACTTTTCCAATGAATCAGATGCCCTCTATAACGTGTCATTTTGTCTATTCTGAGCTCCTTATTGGTTTTCCTTATAAAAGTAAACCTTGCTCCTGAGTTGTTGCCTAGCATAGTGATGTGAACACATTTGTATGATGTACATCTATAAAATGCAAGTGATAATTACAGATGGTTTGAGAGAGTAATTTTTAATTACATTATGTCAGTTTGGATGTTTCATTTGAGGCTTTATTTTAAAAGAACAGTTGTATAATTGTGTTTACTCTAGATACTGTTTTGAAACCAATGGATGTATACAATTTTGACCTCTTCACCCAATAAAAAATTTACATTACATGATCTTGTAGCCTGAGTGAATGTCCCACTCCCCTTCCAAGATATCATCACTATGACACAGGTTTGTGGTAGCCTGCTTCTATCATTTTTTGAGAGAATACCATTAGTTCAGGTATGTGACTGCTTATGAATGTTTTCTTGAGGAAACAGTTGTGTTAAACGTTACTGAGTTGTCTATATGAAGAAATTGGGCCATATCTCCTCATCTGTCTTTGAGGAGGAAAAAAGCTGAAGTGAATCATACTTCTGGTTTTGGCAGTCTTTTTTTTCTTCCATAAAAAACTGGGCTGAGACTTTAGGTTTTGGAGACACTCTCTCAGTGAAATCTCCCCTTTTGTTTTTTCTCTCACCTAAGTTCATGGTTTATTTGGTGGATGCATCAGCCATCTTGTGTCACACAGCAATTCCTTCTTCCCAGCTGAGCTTCCAGGATCACCCACATTTGACTTAAATCTCATGAAATTTCCTCTTCCTTTATTACTCAGAAGTTTTTTACTGGACCAAGGATCCAGAGAAAGGAGACATGATGGTGAGAAAAGGTGATAGGTCCCAATACACCATGAAAGATATTTCCATCAGTCACCAGTGTTCCGTCTCCTTAGACAATTTGACACTTCTCACAACCCCACCTTTCCTGCCTGACCCCACAACCTAATTTGCACCCATATACCACCAGCATGCATGTTCAGCTTGTGTTAACTCCCCAGATATCCCCTTTTGCCTCAAACTCTTCCCAATCACCCTCATAACTCATGTCAAAGTGATCTAACCCTATGTCTCAAAGGTTCTTCAGCAACCTCAGTGGTGCACCAGCCACCTGCTCTCTCAGCCCTTTGTCCAAAATATGCCTGCATCCTTCCCAATGTTGTTAACATTTCCAAGCTTTTTACTTTTCAAACATTTAGGATCAGGATGTGTAAGCCATAAACTGGAATTGAGGGCTGTATGAAGATATTCTGCATATGTCCAAAGCCACTATTTGCATAATTTATATAAAGCACCCACGTGGACCAACTTGGTGATGAGGTTAATGATCCTGGGGAGTGCACAAATTTTGGATAAAGGTCGTGTTTGGGCAGTGAAAAGGCTGCTGATCCCCTTCTTGATGGTACATCTGAGGAAACGATGGTGTGTGTAGGAGTAGGGGATGCGTCAGGGTTATATTGCTTCGTCGCAGGCCTTCGAAAGCAGCAAAGAGCTTGTCCAAAAAGCTGTCCAGAAGAACTCTGTGGTCTGTGGAGAGGCACTGCCATCTCGTGGTGTGTAGTGTGTGCTGGACACACTGCTGGCACGTCTGGTTGTGTGCAGTCAGGAAAGCCAAGCAATGCACCGAAACATCCCCTACTCACAACCAGCATGAACCTGAGATATGTCCTGTGCTTTGCAGGATTATTTGCAATATATCATTACGTTATATCAGCTAGGAAAAGCTGCTTTCTCTTCCTCTAATCCTCTGGCATCTTTTACAGAGTTTAACTCTTCATATATTGTTTTTAAATCCCTTTCAAATGACATGACAACCTGCAAAAATTAAGAACTGTTTCCGCTGTTTTTCTTGGTGTTGTAGCAAAAATAGGTTGTTAAGGTACCTGAAATTTCTCGCCAAGAGTAGATTTTTAACTCTTACAGTGGCAGCCTGGTTTTTTCAGAAAGCTTGACGTTGTGAACTCCATGTTTAAAGAAATTTTTCCTACAAGCAACTTTGCCAATGCTGAGCTTCCCCAAGATTGCTATATCCTCTTAGAGCTGGATTTTCAGAGCAATGCAGTGGGACAGTAGAAGTTATTGGGAGAAAAATAGGCCTGAAAATCTTGAAGGGTTGCAGTGCATCTCAAACTAAGGGAAGAAACAGTTTGTCAATTTTAATAAGTGCATTACATGGTAGAGAATGTTCTTCAGGAAAAATTAAATGCTGTGATAAAAAGTACCCCATTCAATACTCTTTCTGTAAAACAAAGTTGGTGGTCAGCTCACAGGTTATGATACCAAAATTTTGGTGCTGCAGGCTTGGGGAAGGGTGGCTGGAAAGCTGCCTGGTGGAAAAAGACCTGGGGGTGCTGGTAGACAGAATATGAGTCAGCTGTGTGCCCAGGTGGCCAAGAAGGCCAACAGCATCCTGGCCTGTTTCAGGAAGACTGGGGCACTGATCATCCCCCTGAACTTGGCACTGGTGAGGTTCCATCTCAAGTTCTGTGTTCAATTTTGGACCCTTCACTATAGGAAAGACATTGAGGTGCTCTGGTAGACAGAATATGAGTCAGCTGTGTGCCCAGGTGGCCAAGAAGGCCAACAGCATCCTGGCCTGTTTCAGGAAGACTGGGGCACTGATCATCCCCCTGAACTTGGCACTGGTGAGGTTCCATCTCAAGTTCTGTGTTCAATTTTGGACCCTTCACTATAGGAAAGACATTGAGGTGCTGGAGCAAGCCTAGAGAAGGGCAGCAGAGCTTGTGAGGGGTCTGGAGCACAAGTCTAACGAGGAGCAGCTGAGGGAGCTGGGGTTGTTTAGCCTGGAGAAAAGGAGACTGAGGGGAGACCTTATCACTCTCTACAACTGCCTGAAAGGAGGGTTTAACGAGGTGGAGGTCGGTTTCTTTTCCCAAGTAACAAGCAATAGCACAAGAGGAAAGATCTTCAAGCTGTGCCAGAGGAGGTTTAGACTTAATATTAGGAAAAAAAATTTCAATTAAAGGGTTATTGAACATTGGAATGGGCTGCCCAGGGAAGTGGTTGAGTCACCATCCCTGGAAGTATTTAAAAGCAGTGTTGACACGGTGCTGAGGGACATGGTTTAGTGGTGGACTTGACAGTTTTCAGTTATCAGGCGGTTTGAAGGACCTTAAAAGTCTTTTCCAACCTAAATGATTCTATGATCCCATGACCCTATGGTCCCGATGCCATATGCTAAACACCTTCCTCAAGTCCACTGGCTGATGGTGAAAGAAAACTGTGCATGGCCCATGAGTGGCAAAGACTCCACATCTTGTTGTTCCTGGACTGACTTTGCCCAGCAGAATTTGGAGATTCCTTCCCATGAGTAAGCTAACCTTTTAGCCTAAAAAACTCCAACCTGCTGCTTTAAGAAGAAATACACCACCCTGGGACTTCACAAACAAAAATTTCTCTTTGGTGCAATTTATATCAGAACAGACTTATACAAAATGATAATACATTTATTGTGTCATCTACAGCAGTATACACATTAAAAACAATTTCTCAAAACACAAAAAAAAGGTTAGAAAGCAGCAATTGATATCTGTTTCCACCTCATAACAAAGCTGAATAACCCCAGATCCCATTACCGATTAAACCAAATTTGACCAAAAAAAGGTCAGTATTAGACCCAACAGGCCAGTAAGTTTGTACCTTGACACAGTCAAAAGCCAAAATACAGCTTTCCGTCCAATAACTCGGTACTTCTCAGAGCTATAGCATGTTGCATTGCCACTAAGTTGACAAGAAGAAGGGAAAGAAGACTGAACACACTAAATGTTTGTTTTTACAGATTGTACTGGTACACAAAGGCCTCTTGGGACTTCTCTGCAAGCACAAAGTCCATTGGAAAAGGCATATCCAGAAGCCTAAGTAATTTCAGACACAGAAGAGTGTCAGATCACACAGTGTCATATCACACAGTAATTCTTTACATGATGAATTCCCCAAAAGAAAGCTGATGGGAAATTGCAATTTTAATCATAAGAAGGTGAAAGACCACGAGGTTCAAAACATTGTCCAAGCTCTGCTGGTGTGTTTTCATACACAAAGTACAATGTGTATTTAGCTGAATTTAGCTCTTTAGTACAGATATGCACGGAGCTTAACATCAGAGCATTCTTAACTACTACCCCATATATTCCTAATCTTGCAATTCTGAACTGGTTGCATGTGCCTGACTGCTAAAAGCAGAGAATAAATCCTAACTTTTTTTCACTGCATGTGCACTATATACCACGGTTTGTTTCTGGACACAGAAACACTGGACATACGGACACAATCTGACAGAGAAAACAAGACTTCCTGAAAACTGCTCTCAGTGAAAGCTACTAAGCCTTTATCATGCAGCTCCCCCAAATCTGGTTGGTAATACCAAACAAAAGCCACCCCTCAGCTTTTCAAGACCTTTATTTCTCAGCATGTATGAAGCAGAAAAATAGTGACTGGGCAAAGTCCCAAAGGGGAAAAGTCATCCACATGTAGACTTCCACAGTGTCAACATCTGGCACTGATCTGGTCAGCTACACTTCCTGGTGGAAAGAAGCAGATACTTGCAAAGTATGAATCATCTTACCCTTGAGTAGACATCAAAAATATGTTTGATGCTTGTACTCTAAAATTGCTTATTTCTCTCTTGTGACTACAGAGGCAAAGTGGAGAAACTAGGTCAAAGGAAGATACCTTCGCTATCAATGTCTAGAGTTAAGTGATGTGGATATCTCCTTAGCTGCCTGCTTAGTGACATAGAATCTTTCCCAGGGCTTTGCCTATGAGCAAGAATGCTTAATGCTGAAGTGCCAGATGTTGAAAGGGACACATATTTAATATAGCCCTTGATATTTGACTCTCTAAGAAAGACAACCAGGTAAACCCAGCTATTTGGTTGCATTAGGTACATTTCTACAGCTGTAGACCCAGGATTCCTACAGAAACTGCCTTCACATAGAGATCAAAGTTTAGCTATCTGAGCTGGGACCAAGCAGGATCCCATATGGTGTCCCATATATCCTGCTCTATCTATTCTTGCTACCTTGTCTTGCTTCCCTTTAGAACTTCCATGCTATAATAGCTCTGCTGAGGTCATATTTATTGCTCTCCAGTGTCATGTAGCAGATGATTTTAAGCATCCTACATTCCTCCGGCAGCCTTGCCCACATAGGAAAATCTCAGAACAAAAAAGAAAGTCTTAACATCACGAAATCACATAATCAAACCAAGGAGAAAAAGTTTAACTTGTTGAACTTTCTAGGTACATCCACTGAATGTAGCAACTATAAGGATTACCTTTGGCATTTGGATTCTGCACTTTATCATGTAAGAAAGCTTCACAGGACTTCACAGCAGCTGTGAAATCACAGCTTGCATGTTCCTGTTGATGTTGAGGACACAGAGGGCTAAGTACAGTAGCTTCATCCAGGATGCAGCATCTATTCTACATACATCTTCTCAAACCACTGGGAAAAGGCTTCAAAGAGACTTGGTGACACTGTGCTCTCATCCTGGCCCTTCTGTAATGTTGGAATATAGACACTCCTTGTGATTATAGCTGGCTAGCAGCGGTCATGCTTTCCTCACCATCTCCTCCCTATCATCATAGAGAGTGTCCTATCCCTTTGATTGGAACCAGCAGTAATGATAGCTGGCTAGCTATCATCATAGAGAGTATCCTATCCCTTTGATTGGAACCAGCAGTAATGCAGCTTCTCTTGCAACATTATAACTGAAACTAGAAAAGGAGAAGATTGGGATCATTTTTGCCTTTAGATGTGACTGAATGAAAGTGGCTCAAAACCTAATCTCGTTTACACACTTTCAAGAACTGCAAATCTTTCTCTTAGTTTTCATTGTTATTTTTTATTTTTCTTTTTTCACAGAACTTGATATGCTGATTCCAGTTAATTTTCCTGCTGTTCTAAAGGAATTTGCATGTATCTGTATTTGCTTCCTTGCATTGTTTCTGCAGCCCAAATCATGATTAGAGCTGAAACAAATGAAGCTGAGTAGTGTAATTATTTTTAGTCTTATCTTTCAACTGCATGACCAAAGATAAACTGTAGACTTTATCTGAAATAAAACTGTTCATATTAAAGGAAGGGAGAAAGGAACTGGAGGGAAGATTAGTATGACAAGGAGCAAAGCTAGCCAGTAGTTATTTTAATTTAGAATTCATAAAAAAGTTTCTAACTGCCAGAAGAGTGAAGTTTTACAATAACTTTCCAGTGGGAAGTGACAGTGCGAAAAAAAAAAATCCTATTGAATTTTAAAAAGGGAGTAGATCAGTTTGGGAGTGGGAGGTATATGCTGTGAAAACAATGGCAATTACAGAGTTTCCTTCAGATTAAGTCTTTTTATGGCACTGTGTTGGTCTGGAACACAGGAGGATCAGAGACCAACAGGTCTAACTCTGCTAAATATTTTTTGTTCTTGACCATTTTGGCTTTGTGTATTTTTAGTTACTGTTTTCTTTTTCCATGGCATTTATAAAAAAAAATAAAAATCTTTGAAGGAATCAGAGGTCCTGCATAGCCCTTCATACGTAAGCACAGAAGCTATTATGCTATACAGAAGCAGAATTTCATCCATCATTGATATGACAATATTATGGAAAGCCACAATTTTATGTAATGAAGTGGACAAGGCAAATTATGCCACCAAATCCTTTTATCACTGCTGAAAAGGATCAGATTCTCCCAGGTCAGGTTTTGAGGAGGATTCTAACAAATACCGTATTGTGTCCAGTTCTGGTCCTTACAATTCAAGAAAAGCATGGCCAGACTGGAGAGGGTCAAAAGGAAGGCCATGAAGATGATGAAAGGGATGGAAAACCCACTTGATGAGGAAAGATTGAAAGAGTGAAAGAAGTTTTTTCTATCTGATGAACAGAGGGCTCGGGTGAGGTGGGCTGGGGGGGGGCCTCATAATCTCATCTTGGCTCCCTTTCTCATGTTGGACCAGGTGGTTTTTCAAGGTGTCTTCCAACCTCGACTGTTGATCTTATGATTTTATGAACTGCTCTGCATTCCATTCTGGAAGGTGTCTCACACTTACCACTGATGATGGAGAGAATCTAAAGGAAGTCATCTTTGCAAATGTAAGCTCAATTATCAGCACAGTCAGATCCTGCCCACTTCTGGTTGTTATTTAGCCTTGCAGTTGCAAGACACAGTTCTTTAGTTGCAATGGAGATGCTGAAAATGAGGAGTTAGACACCAAATAAAGCATCTGAATTTAACTTCCAAACTGCAGCATTTTTGCATTTCAGTCTGGACTCACCTGCCTTCAACTCTCTCCCTTCTCCCACCACCTTATTTTAACACCTGGTTTTCAAATACAAATACTTAAATGAAGCAGAGGAACTTGGGTATTTTTCCTCTATAAATAAAAACTCCTGTAACTAAGCATTTAAGTTTCATTACCTGGGCTCTGAGTTCCAGATATACTAGATGTAGATGAAGGTAAAAGGAATTGAGGTCACCATGCAGCAATGAAACAAGCCTTGTCCTTTGAAATACAGGTTGTAGCTTTCATTTTGGGATGTTAATTGTCCTGTAGTACCAGCACTCCACATCAAAAAGTCAATAATCAAACAGTGGTTAGATACATTAAATAGTCACAAAAGCTGCAGCACAGAAATTTTTGTACATTTACAAAAGCAAAATAAGAAAATTTGACAAGAAATACATTATGGACATGGTAGAAAAAATGGCTCAAGGAGCACTGCACACTTGTTTTTCTTTTAATTAGGTATTGTTTTTAATAACATAGCCTTTCTAGCTCCAAAATATATTTCACAGTGAAAAATTAAACAAAGCACTGTTACACTCAATTGATATTTACACACACTTAGAAGCAAACCACCCGTTGGTTTCTTCCATCCTGAAACAAATAGAAATGACAGCCACTGTGAAGGGTGGCCATGCATGTCCAGCATCTTCAGTTTACATTCAACATAAAGATTTCTTGAGAGCTAATTTGTGCGATGGCATCAGAGTCTGATTTAGATAAATATATACACCTGAAGTATGATCTTTCCAGTAACACTGAGGAAGTTTGAGTGACTATGGAAAGACACATTTGGAAGTGCATCGACACCGCCAATAAAAGAATCATAATAGAAGGGGGTTATTTGTATAATCCATTGTATACTAAATATTTCAAGAGACACCATTTCCTCTAGTAAATTCAATGCTGGTGAAAGGTACTGAAGACTTTAATTTGTCCACTGAACAAGAAAGACTGGGACTGCAAAGGCAGAAATTTCCCCTCCTCTGTCCTCCAATTTGTCTTGTTCCTAAGCATTGATGCTAGGAATTCAAGGGGCAAGTCCCAGTTTTTATGACTTTGCCTCTCTTGCTGAGACTGCCAAAAAATAATAGTAATAGTAATGTGCTGAGACCAAACCCCAGGCCAAAGTGAAGTGGCTTTGTTCTAACAATAAGAACAGTTTTCTGTACTGATTTTAATTTAGCTGAGGACCTGGTCTCCAGTGTGCATGACTGGAAGGTGGTTTTGGTGTTGTGGACACTTGCCCACGAGGCACTGAACTGAGATCCACCAACTCACATTGCAGCGCACTGAAGGACAGCAAGGAAAACAGTAGAATTTAAAAGCAAGCTCCGAAAAAAGCCTCAAAAACAACATTAAAAATAAAATTAAAAAAAAAGATCCAAACACTTTCTTGCTCTGGACTGAAACATGGCAAAAAGTCTCCAACTAGAGGCAGTTTTTCAACAACTTTTTTCAGAAGTTCTAATCAATTAGTGCTTGAAAATTGGCTACTAGCCATTCATGCAAAATATACTTCTTAATTTTTTTTTAAATAACAAACTTACAATATTGTCAATGTAATACCTTGTGAAAGCCCATACTACAGAAAATACAAAACTAAATATTAAATATTATCTGTTTGGCTAACATTAGATAGTCTCATTTTAAAAATGTCTAAATTTACATTTACCTGATAGATCTGGCTTTCCCCATCTCCCATGTCTTTCTGGACTGCAAAGTGCATAGCTCCTTCAGTAACTTTCTAAAATAGCTTTTAGCAGCATCTAATGAGAGAAGAAGCTCCAATCTAACAGTTAAAAACACTTCAGTGGCTTTTGCAGAGAGTCTGGTACAAGGGGACTAATTCTACCCTCAGAGCAGCAAACCAGTGCTGAAGACTTGAAAAAAAAAGGTGTCTGGATCATTTAACTTGCACTTAAAATACTGCAGTACAATCACAGTAAAGTAAAACTTTTAGCTAGTCCTCAGTGAAAGCGTAGATTTCACCTGAAAAGGGTGTAAGCTTCTCATAAGAGCATGAGCCTGTAGAAATATGAAGTCAAGCTCATCATTTCTGTCTGTTTCAAATTATTTTGACATTCATTTACACTGCTACAACTGAGAACAGATTATGTCCCATAAAGCACTATATAAGTGTTAAGTATTATAATTAATATCTCTGTAACAATTATCTGTGGCCCTTTTTTTAATCCTTTTAAAAATAAGGAAAATAGAATTATTTTTAAAAACCTATGCTTAAAATGACATTAAAACTTTTTTTTCTTTACTTAAACTAACAAAAACCAGTGAAATTAAAAGCTCACACTCAGCTGACACTAAAATTCTGAGTCTTTCACTTTGTTTTCTAGTTCATGATCATGTCAACTAACACCAAAGAACAAGCCTGAATTTTGAATTTCCTGGTTACTATTAGTTTCAGTTCAATATTTCACATTTAAAATGTCATTTTCATTTTTCTTTTTTAATATATGCATACACATACACACACACACATATATATATATATTTATATATATATATATCTCAGTTCATAAATCCAAAACGAAGTGAGTGCTAGGACGGTCCTCAAAGCCTTTATGCACTGTATAAAGACTTTTAAGAATTGACATCATTGACATTTGATTGAAGTAGATATGTACCAGTCGTGGCTTTAACTACAAGGCAAACGTTGAAAGAACATTTTAGTTGCTCTCAAAGAAAAGCAGTAAGACCATTGGTGGTTAAACAAACAGAATATCCAAAGAGAGACAAAATTGCCAGGTGTGGGGAGTCATACAAAGTCTTTCTCTTTTCCTTCCATAGCATCTTATTGTTCAGTTTAGTCGCTCACCAAATGCAGATGACTTTTACCTTCCAAGATGATCATGCCAGATCCCTCTTGTGCCTCTTGCTCTGGCAGGGAAGAGTCAAAACAGAGAAGTCAACTGGGCTGCAAAGGCACCACACTCTGTGTGACAGCACTACCCAAAAACATGTCACGTTCGGACATGAATGCAGAAGGTTCAAGGTTATCTGGAGCGAAAGGCCACCCTGGAACTGACTTTTGCTCTTAAGTGAGAGGGAGGGGACAGCTATTTTTATTATTCAAAGAACCCAATCAATCAATCTACCCATCAATCAGTCAATGTCAAAAATATAGATATATCTCAACTGCATGGCCTTTTTAGAAAATTCACAGTTTAGCTAGAACATAAAGCATTCTCAAAAGTGTCCCTGGGTACAGAAAAAAACAGCTGATTCCATCTCTGTTGTCCAGAGTCCCCCCACTGACCGATGGTAGTTATGCAGCTTCACATTGGCACAGCAGTTTCTTTAAGTCCACTGGGCACATCTGACTAAATCCAGCCATGAACTTAATTTTCTGAAGTTCTTCCTGAACCAGCTGGTTTGATTAACTCAAGCGTATTAGCTCCATCTTTAGACTCAAAAGAGAAACACTGCAGAAATTCACATGCCAAAAGACAGGGACAGGCTACAATGTTTGACTAGGAACAAAAAAAAAAGGCAAATCCAAACCAAAATGAGAACCAATTTGAAAAATAACAATGATCATGTCCGTTCACAGATTAGTATCATTTTGGCAACCAAGGATCACAACTGCACAGCAATCACTTATTACTTTTGACTGACAACGGATTACTTGCAGATGCTCTGAAATGTAAATCAGTGAGTGGGTGGGCTTGGCCTGTTGTTTATCTTTTAAACTTTTTTCCATTAATGGCCTTGAGTACAGTCGGGTATTTACAGTGATTGTTAAAAAGATATATGTACATATTTCCTTTGCTTTTTCACCTCGACAAACATAAGGGAAGGGAAGGGAAGGGAAGGGAAGGGAAGGGAAGGGAAGGGAAAAGGAAAGGGACCTACACCACCACCAAAATTATGATTTATTTTTCTTTTTTGAAGGGATGGTTTTTGGTTTGGTTGTTGATTGATTTGTTTTCCTTAGCTGCTCATGTCGCTAGGTTCTCCGCATTTATGCTGGACATCCGAATCTGAGAGCTGCTCTTGCTCAGAATGGAGAGTTGTGTCCCCCCGTTCACTCCGCTGCTCGCTAGAGAAGGCTGACGATGTTTGAAATCCACAGCAAAATACCGGTTGACTTTCCAGCTCCTCCATTTTCTCTTTATTTCTGATTGCACCTTTAGGGAGAAACTTCAAAAGGTCATTTTTTATGTACTTAGCCGCTCGAGGACATGCTGACAAATTATCAAGTTTAGAAAAAAGACCCCACAATTTGATAGAAAAAAAATATTAAGAATATTATTTAACTCCTCACTTCAACAAAATCTGAAGTGACTCCTCCATGTCTGAAAGAGGTCCAGGCATGTAGTGGGAGCAATAGGCAAGGTTCTGTGTCTCTGACTTCAGATAATTTAGGATCAGCCCAGAGGTGCATAGAAGACCTGTTCAACACTAACTCCAACATGGTTCTTTAGTTAGCTTCTTGGAAAAAAATATCCTGTTTTCATCAGCAGCCAGTAACAAATATCTAACAAGGAGCCAAAGAAACCAGCAACCAAAAGGTTGTATTAGACAATAATGAAATAGCCTGTCCACAAAGGCAGCTTGTCTCTCACCTGCCATTAGTGGATACATGTCTACTGAAAACTTTCTCTCCTACTTTTCGATGACTTCTAAGCAGATGACAGCTCTTGGATTCATCTATGATACCCTCCTTTCCCTTGAGACTTTTTCATGGGCAACCACAGAAAATTGCCAACAGTGAAACAGTCCATGATCAGAAATCCAATTAGAAAATAAGCACATAATTCTATAACTTTTCATTCATTATCGTTTACTTAACAATCTTGCTAGATGTATGCATGTGTGTGTGCATATATACATAAGACAGTAAGGATTTAAACTAAGAAATATCATACTAGCTCAGACAAACATTTATTTGGTCTATTACTCATTCCTGACAGCAGCCTGAAGCATATTTCTGAATGAAATAGCTTAAGAACAAGGAAATATGTAGACGTATTTTCCCAATGTACTTTTCCGGTCTCCAATAAGCAGCTGTATCAAAGATGTTCTTGTCTTTAATGGCCATTGCTAAATTTTGCTAGACTAATACAATTCTTGAAACGGATCAGCATATACCAAAATGCTAAACAAGTGCTTCAACTGTATAGATATGAACTTCCGGGGAGAAAAATCCAATTGAAAAAATTACATTTTCCTTTTTCTCTATTTTCTATTTTGGTTAAAATAAAGATAGGTATAGATTAGATAGAGTATAGAGGTATATTGCCTCTACAAAAAGAAAATAGTGTTGGCATCTGTATCAGTGTATTATATCCAAGATGAACCCTTTCTTACCCTTAGTAATTTAGAGAAAGCACAGGACATTCTCTAATGTCTTAGGAGGTAAAATGGTTTTAATTAATCTGATTGTCTTAGTTTGGTTGAGAAGCACCTCTTTTCTCTCTCCAAGGGGTTACAGGAAAAGCCAGTAAGGATTTACCAAAGGCAAATCATACCAGCCTAACTTGATCATCTTCTGCAACATACTAACATTTACTGTTGACATGGGGAGAGCAGTGGATATTGTTTACATGGATTTCAGCAGAGCATTTGACACTGTTTCTGACAGCCTTCTCTTAGGCAAACTGACAAGATATAGAGGGTAACAGGCCCCATTCAGAGGGTGGTGAAAAAAGTTTTTCACTCAGGCTGGAAGCCTATCACTGTGGGGTCCTCCAGGGATCAATACTGGACCCCACACTGTTCAACATTTTCATAAATTATCTGGATGATGGAATTGAAAGCATTGTGACGAAATTTGCTGATGACATCAATCTGGGTAATGAGTGGACGTTGTCAGAAGGGAAAGCCACCTTACAGAGAGAACCAAACAGGCTGGAAGAGTGGGAAAGCAACAACTGTATGAGGTTTAACAAAGACAAGTGCAAAGTTCTGCACCTGGGATGACATAACCAAAGAGCCCGCTACAGTCCCTACCTCTGTTAGGGAGCATTAATCTGAGCTATCATGTCTGGCAATGCCAATGTTATTGTTTTTTAAAGACATCATACATCCTCTTTCTTTTGCTGAGATATTGTGCGATTCAGCCTAAGGTATTAGGGAATATGGAAGATTATGAGTTACAGTGAAGGATTAGAATAACAGTTACTCCCACAAGGAAATGAGATGGGGGTGGTGGGTGGGGGAGGTTAAATATTAAAAGTCTTACCTCCCCATTCAAGAAACAATAGAGAACAGCAACAACAAAACCCTAGGCAAATGGGAGAGAAAAAAAAAAGTAATGTAATTCAAATCCTTCAATAAATGCTAGAAAATAGCTGGAGTTAAAGCAAACAAACAAACAAAACCAAAATCATGGTATACAAAACATTTACATAAAGGAATAAACACACAGTCTGAGAACTGTGCATGCAAAGTGGTTATAATGAATAAAGATTTCTTTTTAACAAAAGCAGAATTCGCTGTATAATCACCTGGAAAGATCCCAGTCCCAATTCAAACACTAGTCTCTCCCGCTTACTGACATTTTCAGGAGAAAAAGCAAACACCGTGTAGTGAATTCCAAACAAGGGGATAAGCAGTAGTGTAGAGCGAGCCAGCCTCCTGTTATAATAGAGTGAAAGAACTTTAATGCAGCCTTGTAATAAACAACTTGTGCTTTAATTAAAGAAGAAAACACAGATAATATTTTGTTGCTTGCCTTCTGGGAAATACATACACTTTATAATTATACAAACAAGTATACAACATTCCCATTTGTTCCCAAACAATGATTTCACACACACTGTGGTTTGCTCCCCCTTCTTCACACTGCTACAATAATAGCACGTTAGTAATGCTTAATTCTCTGTACTGTTATTTAATTTGCATTATTATAAGCGGGGTTTTTTTCTACCGTGTCAAACATGAGGAGGGGTAATCTTGCTAAGGGATTCAGACTGCTACCATAGCACAATAATAAACCTCTCACCCAATTGATTAATCCCAGAGGAGTGTTTGAAATCACTTTTGGGGTGTTTGTGTGTGAGAATTTATTTTTGCATAGCAAAAAATTCCAAAACAGCAATACAAATAAAGAAAAACACCTTTGTATGTTCTTATCTTATGACTGTTCCTCGAGGTCTTGATTTTGGTCTCATTTACACTGTTGGAAACCTAAGTGTAATTCCATTGTATAACTAATTTCCATTACATCTGAAATAACTCAGTAGATATAAACAAAAGGACTGGAAATGAATATGTGTATTTGTAAGCACTTCACTGAGTACAGATGAAATTACCCAAAAGCAGGGGTCCAGCCTTATGCAGCATTTTTGGTCAGTGTCATTTACTGATTGAGCAGCAAAAAAGACCCAAGAGAGAGCAACTGTTGATCTGAAAATAAGGCATGTGCTTTATTATAGTCAAAGTTGCCTAAAGTAACCTCCAGGACACTTTTAAAGGGGTAAAAATATGATTGATTTCCCTTGAGTAAGTTAAGAATGTAGATGGAGGACAAGCATGTGCTTTATTATAATCAAAGTGGCCTAAAGTAACCTCCAGAACACTTTCAAAGGGGGAAAAGTTGAGTAAGTTAAGAATGTAGATGGAGGACAAAGGAAGCTAAAAAGCCATAAATTTTTTGGCAGAGCTGCAAACTTTTTCAAATCCAAATGTTCACTCTGCTTATATCTATATGACATATTGCAAAGACATTTGAATTTGCTACTACACGCTCAACAATATCCCCAAAATTATGTTTGTCTTACTGAAAGTGAAGACTTAATTAATACCTCTCCAAGAACTCTGTGAACATATGCTGTTATATCCAATACTAAACTGGAAACGGGACATCAGTTCCTTGCTGGTGTCCCTCAGTCATACTTTGTGCCCTAACGATGATAAATGCATCACAACCCTTGCCTTAAGATTGTAATAAATACACATGATTCTTTAGTCTGATGCACACCAAATCTCAAGTGTTGGTGAAAGACCCACAAACCAGAGAACACAGTTCTTGTGAATTTTAAAGTTAGACATTAACCAAAAGCTTTCAACAAGAGAGGAACAGCCTTGGAGCAGTTTGATGAAGAGCATACAGTCTCCAACTTTGGTGAGCTGTAGAAAAAGTAAGCCATACAGGAGTCATCCAGTGCAATTGACTAAAAGACCATAAACATCCTTTTTCTCTATGGACATGTAATCAGATTAATGAAAAATAACAGAAAAAATGTGGAAAAGATTGTCAAATAATACTGCCTTCATAAACAAAAAGGATACAAAGAACCTAAGAGTCTTAAACTAGCCATGGAATTAAAAAAAAAGTCAAATGAAGGTAGGAAACTGGAAATGAAGTATTATCTTTCAAAATCTGTTACCCTTCATATTCAGAATTAATGATGACAACAACAACAAAAGGATAAACGTCACTTTGATTTAAAAGTCAGAATAGAATTGTCTATTAACATGTTGTATTGATGTGTTGTATCTCACCACAGTCAGATTAATTTTGGAGATGCAGAGAAAGACTTTTCCTATTGTCAGTTTTCTGGCATTAATTATATCTGATTAATCACACAATTAGTTTGTAGGATCTTGAAATATAATGTAATCATCAGCTTATCTGAGATACTGTCTTCAATATTGTCATAAAAGTCAGGAAGAAAGTACATGAAATGTGAGAAGTAACACATTGTGAAGTCTATAGGTCTATAAAGAAGAAAGGAAGAATTTAATGATAAGAAAAACTTGAGAGGTAATAATGACTGTGCGGATGATGATGAATTGTGTTTTTTCAAGAGCATTAGGAAGAAAGATGACTTAAAGCAATACCTGTGAGACATGTAAGTTACGTGCAATGGTGAAATGAAGATGTTAAAGAATGCAGCAACATTCTTAGGAGTGTAACAGCCAAAGATAGTCATATTTTTTTCTTCCCACACTCTTTCAGAAAAGCAAGAAACCCAGGGGACAGATCCAAAATTTTTGAGGACAATAACCCCTCAGTTTGACTTAAACTGGCTGTTTAGAAGAGATATGTTCTCCAAAAGGCCTAGAAAAAGCCTTGTTGACACTCCAACAGATGAAGGAACACCTTAAGGTTATTTTTAAAAAAAGAAAAAGCTATATTTCAATTTTTGTTGAGATTGACATTCTATTTTTCAGCTCTTATTTTCCTTAAAAACAGTTTAAACATAATATTTTCTCGACCAGCATGGTTATGAATGTGGCCTTTCCACAAAGTGTTAGTACAAAAAGACACAGATAATGGCATCTTCTGTTTTTCCTTACTCCTCAAGTGAATTATAGAAAGATTCTTTATAATAAAAGCAAAGGAATGTAGAAAAAATGTCCAATTTTGACCAGTCTCTGAAAGAACCAGGTCTTTATTTTTCAATTGTATATCCACACTTATTAAGGAGACTGCTGAAATGTCTATGGATATTACATAGGACATAACTGGGCATAAATTGGAAATGAAAATACACATCACATTGCATTGTTGAGTAGTATTTCTAGTGATTTCTACTAAACATTCTGCTGTGCTCTTATTCCTCAAAACAGGTTTCTGGAGGAAAAATCAATGTTGTGGTCTAACAAACACAGTAACCGTGCATCAGATGAAAAAAAAATAAGTATTTTGAACAATTATGGAATAAGGAACAAGGACCAAAGGGTTCTAAATGGCCTAAATAGGTTCTTCCAGCTTCTGTGAATGGGATGTAACAAAGATATATCTCTAGACTCAGAACCTGTAGATACAACTGTAAGAACTGCTGAACTGGATATGTGATGATGCCATTTGGAATGAATCAAGGAGGCCATCAGAAAACATGGTCCTCTACAAGATGGGACCTGAAGCTCCAGGAGCAATTGTGTAAGGAAATTTGTGGTTGACAATCTCTTTTCTATCTCAGAGAGAGTGGTGAAAACTGTAGCTTAGAGCTTACTCCCCCATCAGTTCCAGATATATCCACTGCACTGAAGAAGTGTCTTCTTCCATTTCTGCTGGGACTGTAGCTGGTTCTGTTGGACTAATTGCAAAGTCGTGTAGCTCAAAAAAAGCCATTGCAACTTACATAAGATTTAAGAGATGACACCGTCTGCTACTAAGGTAAAGATAAAATACAGGACAACTTTTACTCTGCCAAAGAGTTTGTTGCCTTGGTCTTAGAGATTCTCATCACCCAACTTTTTTTGAGACAAAATATCACAGACTATCAAAAGAAGAAAAAGAACTTCAAAACCATAGCCTCTGAAGAAAAACTTTGTAGTTATTTTGCTGCTTAGGCCTGCCTCTTCAAAGTAAGAGAATGGTTCAGTTTAAAGGCTGAGTCTTAAGTGAAATTAATTTGATTAAATATAAACTTTTGAAGTGAATACATCAAGGTCTGTGGTAGTCATGTAGTGCCAAGGTTTGGACATACATACTGTAGATATTTATATCAAAATTATTAACATAATATCTCTAAAGTGAATGTAGAGAAAAATGTACTTTTAAAGAATAGTTTTTGCTTGCTATACATACCTCTTTAAGTGGAGATGACTCGTGTTGCAAACCCTGTGGGTATGTACTAAATACATCTACTGATGTATATAGTGACTAACTTGAGATAACTGCAATGATGACATTTATTTTTAGCTAAATTAATTCCACACCTACATTCCCTTTATCATCAATGAAGAGAAACAGACACTTATGTGCAAGGACGAATCATCTGTCCCTAAGGAAGGCCTAATCACACACTAAGTTTCTCCGCTGAATTCAAAGGGAATCTGGACAGACTTTGTCATATAAATTGCTGCACTTTTGCATTGCAAAGTTTAGATCAGAGGAATATCATCTGTTTGGCCACAACTCAGTGATGAATACGTACAAAAAATAATCATGACAATATTTCAAAGAGAAGGTTAAAGAGCAAACCATGAAGATACAGGACGTCAATAGTAATGAAACGCCTAATATAGTTCATGTTTAATAAACCAAAGTATCTATAGTATCAAAAGGATGCTAAACATAGTTAATCATTAATCTCCCTGACAGATACATGTTTTTTTCAAAAGCTTATAGGATCCCTTTCAAAGACCTGAGGTAACACCTACACACAGGAATTCATTACAGCTTTTTGATCACATCTTCAGACTAAGGACAGAAGTGTACAGAGTTTTTTTGTGTTTCTGTTTAGGCTGAACTCTTCTTGCTGTTGACTGGGTAGAGGATTTTACCTTAGCGAGTTGTCAGTCTGCCATCTTTCAGAAACACTGCACTTAATACGAAATTTGTTTCTCTGCAAAAATTACCGGTAGATTTCTGAAAGGTAGGCCTCGTCTAAAGGAATCCTGTGGGTTTCTTGTACAAGTAACAGAGAGTGAGGTGCACTATGAGCAAATGATTGATTCACATGTCTCTAGACTAAATGGCATTATTCACTTTACTAGATTCCTTACTCTTGTTAGGCAAATCTTTGACAATAACTTCTGACTAGACACGAAGTATTTTGATATTGAGTGAACCTTAGCCTTTCCTCACTCCTGGGTATATACCAACAAAACTTTACTCAGTTCAATGGATGTAGGATGTTTCACCCTGGATGAGAGTCTGATCCACTCAATCCTGTTCTGCCCCTGTTGTTCTATCAAACAGGTGAGACGTTTACTCTCCGTATGACCAGCGCTCACCTCTTTGCTGTATAATAAAAAGTAACTATTAATAGCTTCTATACAGATACCACTCAAGACCATAAATAGCATCAGCCATAATTACATTATTTAAAAAAAAAACCAAACAGTAACCTTAAGTTCTTGATTGTGGTGCATCAGCAAGAGCACAGAACAACAAAAAATTCTACATGCACAAGAACTAAATGAATGCTTGCTCTCTGGTTACTACCCCTCTGCTAATATCCATTCATTTACTTGCAACATGCGTCATACAAACACAGTAACGTCACAGGATTGCGTACACTTACAGGGTAATGGTTGATAGTTCTGACATCTTGCAAGAGTGCTGGTTAGCCCTCTTAGGCTTACAGTAGCATTTCTGAACGCAGCTGCTAAATATGACAAGATTAGCATTTTTTTCAGCATATTGTGAACAGGCCAAGGTAGGTCACTTTCAACACATTTCATGAGACACGTCACAAAGATGGAAAGCGGACATGACAGAATGAAATTACAGCACAAACCAGTTGCTTGACTGAAGCCAAAATAAACAAAAGAAATTAAAATGCACTGGCTGTCGCTAGCAATTGTGATGTGTTGATTCACAGACAAACCAAAGATTGAACAACCTGGAGGCAGGCGTCATGCATCCAAAATACACATGACCTTTGCAGTCTGGTATTGTACAGAGCGTAACAGAACAATATATTAAATGAAAGTTGACTGCACGCTTGTGGAGAACAATTAGATAGTAACATAAACTCGTAGGATGGAGATTAATCTAAGATGAAGTGGGATCAGATGTTCCTCATTTTCATGTCTAAGTACCCAAGGTAGTCTAGATCTCTTCTTTTTAGGGAAGGGTACTAGAAAGGACATCAAAGCACTTTTTCACCCAGTTCCTTGATGCATGGGGAGGGGAGTTCAGTATGGAAACTACAAGTCTGGCTGGTAGTTCAGAGGTACTCCTTATTTTTTGTCACACACACTTAGACAGGTGTGGTTGTAAAAGCAGTAGGCACATACACTATGGACCAGAACCATTATGTCTACATTTCGTATTCTCGAAAGAGCTGCTATGGAGAATGGGATGTTTACATTTACACCTAGTTAGAAAGAGGCTAATTCAAATCGGCTGTGAAGGAGGGTAATCTGAAACAACATGAGAAGTCATTTTAAGGCATCTGAGGGAGAGGGATTTTGTATCTGTTATGGTAGGCTGAAAAACCTGGGAATTGAAAATAGTAATTTCTTGATGACTTTCATGGATAGATTTTTTGTTTGGTTTTGTTTTCAACACATGGTTGTTTTGGTGGGGTTCACCTCAGGGAAGGTGGGATATTTACAGTGTAGATGTCTAAGTAAACTGGACATCCTTGGACCCTTGAGAATCATCAGAGAGTATAAGAAGTCCAGAGAGAAGTATACACTTGGTCACGGTACATCTGACCTATTTTAGATGTCCACTTGAGGATGGGGTAAACAGCACACCAAACACCACTGACTACCCTGACTAAACCTCCTTTGACTATAAAGGATAATACAGTGATTTTTTAAAGCAATGGTGAACAAGGAAAACATCTAACTTTATTCAAACAAATCAAACTCTGTTTCTGTTGCTCTGATAATATGCACAATCTATGTTTTGTGTTCACCTTGCTGTAGATGGAAGATGCAGGCTGAACAATAAAATAGAATAAATTGAAAACTGATTAAATTTTTCCCTACTGTTAACTCCTTTAAGCCAATCCCATTTACTACAGTTTTGTTTTTGATTTGTTTTGTTTCCTTTTGGGTAATCAAAACCTGACTGCTGTGTTGTTATTAAAGATTATAGCATAAAAGACAGATAGAATACAGTATTGTGGAATTCACACATCCAGCAAATAGAAATACTAATCATATTTCAACTTACAAAATTAATCTCATTTCCTTAATGATGCTAAGGAAGTAAATATGAAAATGACTGTTCCTTTTACAGTATCACTTCTGTGATAAAATTTTGCACACTTACAAAATTAATCTCATTTTCTTAACAATGCTAAGGAAGTAAATACGAAAATGACTGTTCCTTTCACAGTATCACTTCTGTGATAAAATTTTGCACTGTCTCTTTTCTTCACAGGGTGGAGTTGTGTGTTAATTGTCAGTAAGACTGCTCAAAAACAAGGAGGGAGGTTTTAGTGACAATTCCTTGTTACTATGGCTGAGACTTTCAGAAGTGACTATGGATTTTGAGTATCTCACTCATTTTTTGCTCACCTGATCTGAAACACATTTTATCAGACCAAATTTTACCACAAGAGGGCTGCTCAGCATGTGTTGAAAAGCAGTGCTTATGAAGGCATTTTAAGGCACATAACCTGAAAATGAAACATCTGAAAATCAATAATCACTTTGAAAATTCTTAGTCATGGGGCATTGTAGTGGGTTGAGTTCTTCAATGATTTTTACCACAAGAGGGCTCCTCATGTGTTGAAAAGCAGTGCTTATAAAGGCATTTTAAGGTACATAACCTGAAAATGAAACATCTAAAAATCAATAATCACTTTGAAAATTCTGAGTCATGGGCATTGTAGTGGGTTGAGTTCTTCAATGACATGCTTAATTGTGCCATGGTAATCTCGACAAAAAAAAATCTCCACCCATGTTTCCTTTACTGCTTATGTCCCATTTCATTTGGCAAGGACTGATTTTCAATGTACGTTTTTCTAGCAAGTAGAACTGACATGACAGCTCATTTTTGGTAGAATGCTCAAAAAGGACAGACTTGATTTTGAAAATAGTATCTAAAAATTAACTACTACTCCCCACCTAATAAGGAGATATTTTCCATCACATGGGCTTGTGATGGAACACTTTGCTAGCACTTCTTACGAAAATATTAATATTTTAGTGCTGTTACCATTTTCTCTGCTATCCTGTCTAATTTAGGTAGAATCATCTCTCTGATGTTAGATATTGTAAAGTGACCCAAAACATTTACAGTACAGAACTGATAGAAGTTTTCTTTCCTTTTTTTTTGCTCTCTCCCTTTTTTTTTTTTTTTAAGCTTTATTTATATATATCTAGTTAGTTACTTATTGTGAAATTAGAAACCTTGGTGGAAGGAAAGGGAGAAAGAAAGAAGAGACAGAGGAGGCAGGACCATAAAGAAATGGGATGGAGAAAAAAATAGCCAAATAAGAGAAAAATAATAAAAATGGGGTTATGGATATCGAAACATTACATGAATTAGGGCAGGATCCTCAGATCTCTGTAGGCACACACAGAATGGAATTGGTCACATCTAACTATATGGATCTAAGACAAATTTAAACTGAACTATCACCTTTAACTCACTCAATCATGGAAAGAAACGGGCACTTCCAGAGGCTGAGCTGACCTGTGTAACAGAGGCGTCTAAGACATACGGGATGCATTGTCTTAACGGAGGTGCCCTGGTCTCTCAGTTTGACCATAGACGACGACTAGACTGCTCAGATTAAATACGAGACTTTAGACAGCTAAAGGCAAACAAGCTGAGTCTCACCGCAATTGTCCTGTGCATGGACTGCAGCTGCATCTGGGAGGAAGAGGGAGGGTGCTAGGGTGGAAGGGGAAAGAAAAAGTTAAACATTCCCAGGATTAAATGAGTGATGTATGATGTGGCTGAAGACCACCTTGTCAGACGGAACACCTTGACGTCTGGCAAGTTAATGTAAATGAGAGAGTACACAAATTTGAGGCAAAAGTGGTTTCAATTCAATTCTAAAGACTTTGTAGGTTTCTCAGAGGTGCTTAAGAGAAGTAAAATGAGCATGCTGATTCAGGGGAATGAAGTTACACTCTATTACCAAGGCCATGTAGATCCATAATGAAAATGATCAGGGTTCTGGGTTAAGGTTGCTAATGGCACACAGGGAATGACAAAGTTTGTGGGTTGTCTCTGAATATGCTGAAGGGAAATCCTTTGGGAAACACAATAAAGACAGGGTTTGATTCATACAAATTTAAGCTGTGCCTCATTAAGAATCTTTCTATACCTTGCTCAAGTAATTCTGTGTAACCTCACTACAAATAGGATTGATAACCAGATAAACAGTAGGAAAAAGAATGTTAAAACAAATCAATGAAATAAAGTACTGAAAATACGGTAAATGTTAACCAAGGTGAAAGTAGAAAGGTTGTATGGGAGAGAGATAGAAACTTTGAAAAACGGAGTCATACCATCTGTTATTTATGCTACATGCCTACTTACCTACAGTTGGTATTGTTACAGGTTGGGGGACTTCTTTACTACTTGATAGCCTGAAGCTAGACTTGTTTCCTGCCAAAATACCAACTACATTTACAAAACCCCTGTACTTACAGATCAGATGTAAATAGTTTGGAAAACTGAACTTGTTCTGTGAGCAGAAAACAGACATACAATTCCATCCTGCTGCAGTGGCTGTGGGTCCCGACTCACAAGTAGTGACTACATGTGCAAGTAGACTCATTCATTCCTCTCATCCAGGCACACAGTAAGGGGGTGCTTCTCAGCAAAGTTGTTATTTAGTTTCACCTTAGCTAATTTTCAAAGTTAACAATATAGCTGCATGCATTATACCTTGTTGCCCCATGCTAGTTTAACAGTTGATGGTGATAAACGGACCATAAAGTGAGATTTATCTTGCTAGGTTTAAACATCTTGTTTAGAATGAAATAAGAGATTTTATTCTCTGGACTGGGTAGGTTCCTACTGACTGTGGAAGGAGCTCAGCATGATTATCTTATTAAATCAGGTGGATTGCATGCTGTCTTGCTAAAACTACATTGTGCTCTTCATTAAAAAAAAAAAAATAAAAAAAAAATTGGTTGACTTTAATGGTCTTTCATCTGACTTCTTGGTCTCTACATTTTAAGGCATGTGATAAGTCAGCTTTGTTTCTCTTCAGTGTTTTGAGTACATATGTCTTACACAACTAAGTGGATTGCTTTTCTTTTCAGTGATTTTGAGGAACATAAAGAAGACTTGCATTTTTTGTGTCTATGTACTTGCAAAGTCAATGAACTTTAAGCTAAAAACTAGGACATGAGAGTCTTCTATGGTTTTCAAAGCTCCCACGTTACAGAGGACATTGAATGTCCTCTACACACTTTGCATGAGTGTACATTTAATTGCACCAATGTTAGATTTAATCTATTGTGACTGAAAGGTAGCATGGTAATTACAACAATAATTTGACACAGAAACAGTATGTCTGTGAGGAAACCACTATCATCTCTCCAGAGGCTGAAGACAGATTACTGCTTGCAGACTATAGCTGAGGCTGAAAATGAAGGTTTAACAGATATGAATTTGAACTGGAAATTTTTGTCCAATGATTCTAATCTTTGCGCAGAACTGAGGCTTGAGGATGAAAGAGAATGTTCAAAGAGAGCCAAAAATCATCTCTACAGTTCATTCTTGGCTTTGCTAACTTTTATAGGGTGGACATACAAGGATGGAGAAAGCCATCTGAGATCAAATAATGAAGAGGTAAAGCTTAATATTCAGCTGTGATCTAGAGAAGAAAGCTGGTAGTAGAGAGCAGAATACTTCCATCAAAAACAGTCTTTAAAGGAACCGTAGTTTCAAGGTTACATATCCTGATCCTTCCTCTCTATTAACACTGGAAATCCTATTTTAACAATCTAGATTATTCTCAGTGACTCCAGAGCATTGACTAATGTCATGCATTATGGAATAATTCTGATGGAGGTGCAGTAACATAACTGTAGTGTAGAAGACAATAGCATGTTTAGTGAGAAAAATGTACCATATCAAATGAGGTTATTAAATGGTTTTGAATATAGGCTTACTGTTGGAAATGAAGAATATGTATGTCCAAATCCAGACATAAAATATCTGAGAATGTGATTAGCTCATTGTCCTTAAAACAAACAAACGAGCAAAACCCACAGAGTACTTATTCTCACAGTCTGCGACAAGAAGTGGATTTTCAAGCATTATAGGCAGGTCTTAGCCCTTTCAGTTGGCAGAGCTCAGCATCAGTAGAGATACACTGAATTTATGTAATTTGCAGCTCTGAAGCTTCACATATATTGCTTTGTCTCACCTGCCTTACGAGTAATATGAGATCCCTGCAGACAACAACCCAAGTTTCAACCCATCTCTATAACCCTACTTAATGGAAAAGAGAGTGCTTCCTTTGTTGAAAAGGCCTGGGCTTGCAGACATTTACTCAACTGAACAACTCCAGTGTTTTCATTGGAAATATATAAGAGGAATTAGAGTCTGGAAATCTCTCAGGAATGACACAGGTGCACAGCAAATGAGGTACTAAGACTACGATGTGGACCATATACACAACTTTGGATTGGGCCAATCTTGAGGTAGTATATATTTGCTTAAACTACCTTCATTGAGACTTAATTCAATATTAAACTATTGTAACCTTTGAGTCATTGGTGGTGTTTGAGTGTGTATTTGCACTTTCCAAGACAGGAAGAAATCGTTTCTGGGCAATTAACCAATTACCCAGTTTGCACCACACAGTTCCTTTTATGCACAGTATTAGTTACAAGTGCCTCAGGAGAAATTTACCCTTTCAGATCAAAAAACCTTCTGAACTGCAACAGCATCATCTTTCTTGCCCTTTCCATACCTTAGGCTCTATGGACTATGTACTTGCTTGGAGTACATCCTAATAATTCTTTAGATGTAAAACTAAAACCAGTGGATGTGAAGCATGTTGGTTGCTGAAGTGAGACACAAGAGATCAATGGCAAGGAGAAGCAGAGACACTGAGGGGAAATTAAATTCCTTTTGTTCTCATATGGTAGAGGCAAAAATGTGAATGGTAGCAAAAAGTAAATGGAAGACCATATATGCTGGTGTGCATCAAGCTTTGATGTAGGTTGAAAGGACATTCAAGATCAGAGATGTCAGAATTATTCCCCATTGTCTGCAGTCTCGCAACAACTGCTGCATGACCAACTGCTTCCACTCCACCTTTATCTTTACACTAAGTAACTGCTTCAAAGAAACAAAGGTGCACACTGATTTGGGGACAAACAAAATTCCGTATCTATCCCTTTCAGGCTAAAAATGCATTCAAAACAACAAACTTAGCTGTGAGCAATGCGGGAGGGAAAGAGGAAAACAGCCAGAATGGTCTAATATGGATGCTCCCAAGTTACCTCTCAGTTTGAGGTTTCTGAAAAATTATGTGAATCTCCAAAACAATTATCTTTTCCAGTAAGTAAGCTGCCGTGACAAAGGATACAACACGGCACCCAGATCCATGGGTGATTTGTAAAGATGCATGGCCTAAGGCACTGGCCGTTCTCTATCCTGCCGATCTCCATGACAACTAAAGTTTATCAATACAGACTAAAATTAGGTTATTCACTTTGATGAAATGTAGTGACTTTCAAACACATTTGAGGTCTGTACCCCATTTTCTTTAGGAAGGCTAGCTTAATTTTGCTAATCAATAAGCTTGCATGTGTGGCAAAAGTTATAAAATGACAGAGAATTTAGTTAAGTGTAGTCAGCTTTAAAGTCACATTAAAGGAAGAAGATTTATATTGTGCACATTGCTAAAGTATTTGTGGTCTTTTAAAAAGCAATGCTGGAACAATTTTAGATATATATATATATAGCATTTCAGACAGTACATGTGTAGGAAAGGACCTATATTTACACAGGCACAAAAGCACAGATGCAAACAGTTATATAGAAATCATGCTGCCTTGAGCTTTCAGATGTTAGGAGTGCTGTTCCATACCACTTGTAGGAATCAAGCCACAATATTTCAGGTACTGGCTTTGAAAGACACTGAGGTTTGAAATATCCAGGTATATGCTACTAATATATCAATGGGAATTCATAAGATAAAATTTAGCCTTCTTTTGTGCCTTAACCTCTTTAGAAACAGGGCTGTTAGGGCTAATCCAACCCTTGATAGAACTGTTGAGAAGGAACATTTCTATAAAGGGAACCATGCTGTTGAATCTATCATGGCATTGTTCTCTCCCTCACTAACCTGCACACCTCCTTTGTCTTTCTAGTGAAAGACCATCTATTAGTGGTTTCTCTTTTAATGCAAACATACTTCTTTCTAGTTTGTAGCTTGCTCTTGTAACAGAGGGGGGGAAAAATCTGTACTTTGCTCATTTGGGACACAATCTGTGGATGAAGAACTTTGTTGTCTAAGGCTGCTGTAGGGCATGGACTCAAGTGGCAATTTTAATTTACCATTAGAGAATTTTTAAGCATGAAACTTAAGCAGATTTCAAAAAAGTCGGGTAGTTCATCAACTACGTAAATCAGTGCTGTATCCTTTCATCTGTCCATATATTCATTGAAATCATAAAATTGCCCATAAAAATACCTTATAGCAATGTGCACAAATAGTTTTTGTCTTAAAGGCAAAGTCATCCTATTTTTCATTACTACTTCAAAATAGAAAATAGCACGTGTCAACCTCCATCATACAGACATCACCAGTACAGGCCAAGGCACAATGGACTTGCACACTAATCACCTTCTAAGGATTTCAAAATAGCAGAAGGAGAGCACTTTTTAACATTGCATTCATCACAGATGATCTTATA